ATTATATATTTATGTATAATTCGTTCAAATTATCAATATGGACCCTGTAGTTAAATCATATTCAATTTTGTCATATATTACTACAAGTAGATTAATAAAAGGAAACTTACTAGTAAACGATAAAAAATAACTAATACAGTCAAACTCGGTTAACTCAAAGTTAAAAGGACCGGAAAAAAGTTCGAGTTATCCAAATTAAAAATTTTTAAAACAGTATTTATATTATATATTATGTACAGTATTTATATATGAATTATGTATATGTAATTTTAAAGAGGTATGTATCTATCAATAAAAATGGGGTTAGAAAATTATTTCAAAAAGGTATATATTTTTGTTTGAGTTTTGCTGTTAATCGCAACGTTTGTAATGAATCATTTTAAACCATTTATTGGTAACGATAACACTAATGAGTAATGACCTTATTAGTTATTTTCGATATTAAAATATATACATAAGTATCACGAGGGAAATATTACAATTTTATAATATTAATAAAATTCAAAACTTCGAGTTATCCACGAAAATATTCGAGCGGGACCTGTTTCGCCCAAATTTTATAATTGTAAGATTTCCGTTTAGCTCAGACTAGTTCTATACCAATTTAAAATTAAATTGGCAATGGTTCAGTCAAGTATTGTTGTACATTATACTTGAGTATCATTTAACGTTACCCAGAGAACACCACGAGGAGGCCGATACGACTCTTTATTCTCCAAAATTTTTTTTTAAACTTTAAATTTACTTCACGTTAAAAAAAATGTTTGTATTAACAAGTACATTAAACAAATTATTTAAAAAAAAATTCACATGCAATCAAAGGTTTTAATTTTGTCACAAATATATTTAATACTTCACACTATAAATTTAACCACACAAATTGTATAAACAATATAGTCGTTTTTTTAAAAAGTAAACGAGATTTGATGTCAGAATGCCCAACTGACGATAGAGTTATTAAATACTGTGATTATTTAATAAACAATTATATTTCTGAGGATAGTAAATTTACTCCTAGTCTATGGGCATGTAATACAGCGAGTAAAGTGCTTACGACGAATACGTGTAAGACTCCTCGGGGTGTTCTCTGGGTAACGCTAAATGATACTTAAATATATAGTACAACAATAGTTGACTGAACAATTCCTAACTTAATTTTAAATTGGTATAAACTAGTCTGGGTGAAATGGAAATCTTATAATTACAAAATTTGGCCGAAACGGATACAGTCATACTTGAGCGAAACGGGTCACGCCCAAATATTCGAGTTAAACAATATTTTTTTACATTGTTTAAATAAGTAATTCTAGGGATCGGAGAAAAAGTTCGAGGTATCGACGATTTCGAGTTAAATAAGTTCGAGATAACCAAGTTCAACTGTACTAGGAAAACTGTATAACTGACTACATTAATGAGACACCTACACGAATAAAATAATTAAACAATAGCTTAACAAATTTAAATTTTAAATTCAATTTATCAATTGTTGTTTTAATTTTTAATTATTATTATTAGTTTCTATAAGTGATGAGTGGTGACCAAATGGTTTTCATTTCAACAATCATCAACGCACATTTTTAACCATTTTACTTCTAAGTTTATAATCTTAAACTTGTAAATTTAGAAAGAGAAACATGAATACTTTATAATTTTATGGTCAATCAAAGTGGGAACCAACATAATCAATAATGGAATATATCACAAATTTAAACGGTACCAATTTGTCTAAAGCGAAACAAAATCAATTTTGTCTAACACCAACTAGTTTTGTGTACAATTTTCTGTTTTTCATTAATTTTGATATTTTATAATTATTTTGAAAAGTACTAGGAATTTTAATTCTAAAATACCAACTCAACCCAATTTACTACCATAAACTACCCACAAAATTGAAAAATGAAGCATTATTATTGCCTCAAACAATTACGACAGACAAAAAAAAATTAATTACGAAACACACATCATCGTAAAATCAATATATTCATTGCTTCGTACAAAATCTAAAAATTCAAAAATTTCAAAAAGTATGAATAGCATAAAAATAAATAAAACTATATCATGTATCCAAAAATGTTAAAATTTATCTTTGGTGAAGAATTTAAGTCTCTGTATACATATAGTCTGAATTATACATTTTTTAATTAGATGCAAAAAATAACAAAATAGTTTTGTCGAAAACTGGTTTGGCAAATTTTTTTAAATTCTATCTATGCTTAAAATGTTACATAAAAAAAAGACGAGTTTTTTATTTTTTATTATTGGATAAAAATTTAACAAAAAGTTTTTTAGTCCGATCCAGAATAAAAATATAATCTAAAATTGTTTTGTCAAAAGTGAATATAAGAAAATTTATTATTTTATTAACTTAAATAATGAACTATTATATTATATTGACATTTTCTATCTTCATTGAATCAAAATAATTTACATTTACATTTTAGTAACCGTTGATAATCTATATTGTTCATCATAAAACATATTATTAATATAATATAATGATCAATAGAAAACTAAAAACTATTCAATGAATGCATACTAGCAAATACTATAACCTTGAGATATTTTTCAATACCATAATATCATCATGTGTCCACCAAAACAAACATTGTTAAATATTTGTTTCTTTGTGTGAATAGCTATTATTATAATATTATAATTATTATGTAGATTGTTTGCACTATAATTTATGATGTATTATTAGAATTAGAATACCAAATGGTTTAAAACTTAAATGAAACTTTTTTTAAATTTATTATTATACACACTACTATTTAATACAATTGATATTTATCTTTTTTATCAGAAAAATTTTAATTAAATTTAATAGAATAAATTTATTAGCAATTAATTTAAATTTAAAATATTTATAAATAGTAAAAAACATGCAAAGATATTTTGAAATTATATCATATCTAAAAAATTCTAATATAAATTATTGGTAAAAAAAATCAGGTCAATTGAGGCTAGACTACAGTTTGAATAACAAATATTAAAAAAAATCATTTTGGCAGAAATCTTATTTTAAATAAAAATTTTGATTTCTTCTTATTTCTAGATTTTGAGCAAACAATGAATGTGTATTGATTATTCAATGATGATTAATTTTTAATAAACATAATGAAGTTTTAAAAATATAAGAACTCATTTTAAGCTATTAAATAAGTATTTCCAATTTTCAAATTCTTTTTTGTAAAGGGTTGATAAAAAAATTTAATTTAATTTAAATCTTAATTTGTTCATATAACAGATTGAAAATATTGAGAATACATGAAAAACATTATTTTAAAAGCGTTTAAAGTTAAAGTGTTGACAAAATATTTGACTAAAAACTTAATACAATAATGTATATTATTATTTCTAACACACAAAAATAATTCTAAGATATTAAGATTAATTTGTATTGGTAAAACAATTGTTGACTAATTTATAATTATTTATTTAACTGTTTAAATTACATTGAATAAAAATTATATAACTGATGAACTGTATTTGTAAGTAGATAATTTATGATAACTATGGCCAACGTTTTTTAATCAATATTAAAGAGGTCCACCAAAATATTTAAACATTTAACATGTATGAACAATAAATATGTTAATTTACAACTGCAAAATATAATGAATAATAAGCCAAATGATAAGTTAATAGTAATGATTTTAAAAGGAGTTAGTATAGGCAATTTTGATAACTTAGAAAAAAATTCTGTTATTTCTACTTATATTAGAAAATTTTAAAATAGACTTATGTCACCATCCCTTTTGATTGGTTTCAGATATATTTTTAAATTTCATCAATCCCTTGATCAAAACTCTAAAGGTACAATATAAATTTTAATTTTTAAATACCTCTAGGCTATTTTTTACAAAGATAAATATATTATTAAATTTTAACTTATCAATTTTAAGGACCATATTTATAAGTGCGAAAATTTTTTAAACGATTTAAATAGTATATTACAATATCATCTTTTTTTTAATTAGAATACGCCTTGCCTTATTCTACACAAACATATTGTTTAAAAATATTAGTATTTTAATGTTGTAAAGAATTCTTTAAAAATCTAATCTGAATACTCTTAAAATACTTAAATAGAATTTAAATACTAGTTATTATAGTAAATAATATCAATCAATCAACATTTAACAATTCGAACATTTTCAGGACAGGGCTATTACTTACGTAGTGTATTTTGGAGGACAAATTGATATTAGCACCGTATTTTTAAGGGGTTTTATATAGGCAATTTTTTTATTTATAAATATATAATGTTATATTTAATTTTAAGTAATTGAAAAGTAGTACTATGTTATTATGTCAGTAGCATTAATAGTTACATTTTAAGTACAACATAATTTAGAAAAATATTTATATGAAGAGAAAGAACCTAAAAGGATACAGATTCAGATAAGAAATCTAATTTTCACTAATTTTTTAAAAAAAGAGAGAGTATTGTCTGTCAAATATTAGTCTAATAACTTATTTTCCACAAACAAATTTTTGATCATCTAATCAAGAAACAAAACATAAGAATCAAGCATACAACACTATGAAATATAAAACTATAATAAACTAGTTAAAATAAAATTTTTACTCGGTAAGTATGGATTATGGTACCCAGAATTTTTTTCATGATAGCCAAATAATTTATGACAAAATGTAATCTAAATAATAATGTTTAAATTATTTAACATTAAATAATATGTAATAAGGATAACTATTCACTTCTTCCTATTTAACTCATTAATATAGCATAGTACTACCTTTAGTTCAATTTATTACGTATATGGCTCAAAACCAATTGTTTAAATTATCTTAGTTCCAAAACTTATAACGCAGAATTCAAATTAAAATAGTAAATTACTTCTTATACACTAGTCAATAGTCATAATATAATACAATACAATCTTAGTAATCCAGCTGTACAATAATCTAGTATCTGAAAGTCTACTGTATATTGTTTATTTTAAATAATCACAAATAAATAGTAACTGTTAACTTACAAAAGCATTTCCAGATTGACTCCTTAAATATGTTTGACTTAATTCATAAAGCTCCAAAGCTGGCTCCACCTACAATTAATATACATAATTTTTAATCACAATAACAAATGTTAATTTCAATTAATTTACCTTAACAGTTACACTTGTTTCTGATGACTTGATCATATCAATAATTTCATCTCTATTTTTATCAGAAACAGGACTGCCATTTACTTCTATTAATTTATCTCCAGGAAGAAGTCCAGTGTAATGTGTTTTATCTTGTCCTGGCTCAGCAAAAATCACTGGTTTCAAGCTTTTAGCTGTATTTTCTGATACAAGACCACGTCTTAATGAAAATCCAAAATCACTACCAGGTCCTGCTCTTCTATTAATAGTCAATATTCGAGGCTCTACTTTCACAATTGGAACAAATGGAAGTTTTAAATTTTCATCAAACTCATCAGTTAAATAATCATTGCCAGATGGACTAAGGTTAAACGGTGTAGCAAAACTGCTATTTGTTGTTGAGTCAGTAAGACTATCAATACTTGATACTCTTGGAACGTTTTCATACACAATTAATTCATTTTTTAATGTATTAGTTTGTAGAAGAGAATCTGAGTCAAGATCTTGTAATGGTCCATGTTCTAAAATTGGGGGAGGTTTAAGAATACCTCTACGAGGTGGAAGAGGGGGGGTTTGAACTGATTCGTCAGTCTCATCACGATTTAATGGAGCAAAAAAATTGGCACTATAATCTGCAGTAATTCCACTAGGCAACTTTTGTTTTTCTTTACGCCTTGTACGTAGTTTTAATGATTTTCTCACCTAAAAAATGATACAATATAATTTATAATATACTTATTTTAAAACAACATTATATTTTTCTCACCTCATCTAATCTTAACAAATCATCGGAGGACATACTAAAACTGCCTTTTTCTTTTTTTTCCTTTTCTTTACGCATTTTTTTCATTTTTTTCCTTTGTTCTTTTTCTTCAGTTTGGTTATTGGCTGAACCCTGTGACCCATATCCAGAACTGGTCCCATTATTCACCACATTGTGGGAACCAGAACTTTTTTTCATAAAATTGAACATCACGATTGGTACTGATAAATTATGATCTTAAAAATGTTAAAAGAAAAACATTAAAAGTTAGTTTCTGGCAATATAATCTGAATCATAAAACTATTATATATTAAATATCACATAACAAATCTGTCTTTTAAGGTGGAGAAAACAAAGGACAATTATAGGGTCTTATAACATAAACATGTATATTATTATTATTTTCTATACATAATAGTTCTTACCTTAAGCTACTCTGTTATTCCAGAAAGTCATTGTTGAACTGATATTTTGGCAAGATCAGAAGTACATTTACAATGCAACTATGCTTAATCATGCATTTTTGCTCTGAAAAAAAAAAATAGTTTTTCTTTATAACCAATTAAGTTAATTTACTTTAAATATATTATATACTTGTTATATATATTTTACACAAATACCAAAATCTAATTTTTAAGCCAGGAAATTAATTTATAATTTTAGATTTACAATAATTGCACATTAACTAATTAATTATTAAACAATTAAGATAAAAAATAAAGATCTGATAAATAGACATGGATTTAAAAAAAAAACAAATAATAAGTATATTATTTGTCTTCATAATAATTCTATTTTATTTTTTTTAAATAAACACAATTAAATAAAACATGAACTATGCATTATTTCAATTTATAATTATAGGAAATGAAACTTAACAACACCATTAATTAATTTCATAAAATTATATACTTTTTCAGTAAGTACAAAACTCATAAATATGTCAGCGAAAGTGAAATACAAACATTGTTTAATATTTAAATAAGGGACAAATAAATTGTTCTAATGCCTATATAAAAATTAAATTAAACACTACCTATGTTTCATTATAACAAGAATTAAAAAGCATTAAATAATTTTTTTTTTTAAAACAAAAGGAAGTCACTCTGCTATATGCTGAAACTTGAGTTGAACTTATTTTTGCCAAAGACATAACATATATACAATTAATTACATAAATAGTATATCATATATTAACATATTGTTGTTTATATTACAGATATAAAAAGATTTTTTCATACTACACACTAAATTTAATTATATTTATGCATATATATATATATAGCAAATACATTCCTTTTTTACATTTTTCATATTTTTTTTAAATATGAATTGTTAAATACTAATATTATTAAATCACTAAAACATTAAATTATATTATAATTTAATTTAACCTAGTACAGTTTTTTTTCTAATACATATTTATCCTTAATAAATTTCAAAAATATTTCAATTTTGAACAGCGCATGAAATTTTAATAGCTGAGAGTATCTACTATTCAGAGGTTTCACTATACATACATAGATATTTAAGAGAAAAAAATAGTAATTAATCAATAAAAATCAATAATCAATATATTAGTTAATATTAATACAGATGTGTATGCTTAGAAGAAGAAAAAAAATAATAATAAACATTAATATTAGTTAACACAGCTAAAGAGCTGAATGATTTTTAAGGTTGTTTTATTAATTCAGATTAAAGTCTCACATCCATTTGATGATGTTAATCCTTTAAATCATAAAAGCTCACCTTTCAACTACTGTTGTATTTTGTCATTAATCTTATTCTATGAAGAAAATTGTTTGAATATCACATCCACAGTCACAATTTTGGGTGGGGAGCAAATGGCAATCTGCATCATCTATTCCCAATTCAAATTTTAGTTTGTGAATTATAAGTTAATTTCATAAAACTTCTAAAAAATACTCATTTGGGATCTTGTATCAACTTTTCGAGTTTTTTTTTTTAATCGAGCTTTAAATGATTACTAAACCTTAACACTCGAAAATTTTAAATTCCTATAAATAGTATGATCTAAGTCCAAATATTACAACTCATTGAGTATTAAATATTATTAGTAAATAACAGTGTAATGTTTCAAATTTTTATTTTTTATAATTAATACTTTTTAAATTACAATGAAAAAATTAAAATCGTTTAATGAAGTTATTTTAAGCAAGAATATCTGATTACGTCAAAATTCAAACTTATAATTATTTGTGGAATTACACTCAACTTTTTTTAACCGAGAGAAAAACTATAAAAATATATATATAACATTTTAAACATCTATAAATAGTTTGAAAACATCCAAAATTATTTAAAAATTGTACCATGACGTGTAGAAAAAGATAATACGAAAAATTGGTGAATATTTCAAGTATCTACTTTAAGATTATCCATTTTTAAATTTGATACAACAAAATAAGTAAATTAACTTTGTCAAAAATTGGTTTTTCGCAAAAATTCACGTTTAGTCTTTTATATATTTCAGATTCCTCCTTCTTTCGGTCATTTTGAAAAATACTAGGAATTATCAATTTTGACTTTTCAAAAGTACTAACAAATCTTATTTTCTATTGGAAACCTCATTTAAAGGTGAAGACCTAAACACTTTTCCTGTTATAAAGCTTAAAATATAAAAAACGAAAAAACACGAGTCATTGTAAAACCAATAAATATATCACACTTCACACAGAATCTTAAATGAAAATATCACTATCTATTAAGGACCAGATGTAAAAAGTTGCATACTGTCCTATAAACTTTCTATTTATACTAAATTGAGCTAAAATTTCAAATTATACGAAGTTTAAAAATCGAAAATTATAAATGCATATTTTGCACATTTCAACAAATTTAGGGAAAATTTGCATATTCATATTAAACATATTTAATATTTTCAAAAAAAAATGATTTTTTTCTAAACCTATTTATTTTAAACAATATTAAATGTAAAACTCAATATTAATTTACGTAGGTATTAATTGTCATCGTCGCAGCAAAAATATGAATTTTATCTCAACAGTATACGATTTGTATTTAATCTATATCACGCTAATATTCCGAAATAATATCCTACCGTTGTTAAATTATCGACTTAACTTATCTTAAATTTATTTATTGTTTATTTGTTAGTAAATTTATTGTACACAATTGACATTTTACAATTTTTTTTTTTTTTTATGGACTTTGAGAGAGATCATCTTAACAGTACAATTATCAAATACCTAATTTTAATTTACCTTAATTTAAAAATATATTTACTAGATGAATCTTATATCAAATATAACTCATAAATTCAAAATCTTTTAAAGTTTTTGAAAATAAATAAATATTTTTAACACTATATATGTATTTTTAACTTTTTTTAACAACACACATTTTTAATTTCATGTTCTGAAGAAAAATATTTTATTTAGTATTTTAATACATAAAATCGAAATTTGGACACATAGTTAATGAGTTATAACTTATAACTTTAAAATTATTTAAAATTTAGGTAAGCAGAATATAAGAATCCAATATTTTTTTAAGTATCTCAGCTATACCCCCTCTACTCAGATCACCATTACTTTAAATACTTATATAACTCATAAATCGTCCGAATTTCGATTTTTATGTATTAAAATACTCTAAAAAAATATTATGCTTTAGAATATCAATTTAAAAATATATGCTGTTGTTCACAAAAGTAAAGTATTTAAAATTATAACGTTAAAAAATATATATTTTTTTTTAAGTGTTGTTTTATTTAGTTAACTGGAAATTATGTTAAAAAAATATTTTCAAAAACATTTATAGATTTAGAGATAGACAGAGTGTTATTCAAGAAAATAATCGCCTTAGATATATAGTTATGTTTCAATCGTTTTTAAAGAATTTGGAAAACTAAACCCTGATCTCCACCAAAAAAAAAATTGGTTTAACTTCCCTGTCTATTGTACATCAAATACATCACTAAACTACTTTAATAAATTATAGTAGATATTGAATAGATTAGATCTAAATAAAAATAATTATATAATTTATAGGTAGCTGAATAAACTAAATTAGTATCAGGTTTTTAATTTAACTATTTATAGCCCAAAAAGTATCATCAAACAAAAAACTTTAGCAAAAATAATAATAATAATAGAATGCTAATATTATAGAATTAATCTTTTTGTCTTTTTTTACTAAGTATTTATGAAGTATTGATTTAAATAGTTATACATTATCCTAACATTGAATGAACGTTATACTTGATGAAAAATAATTCCAATGAGTTACGATAATGAATTAAAGCAAGGCCTTTCATACATTTCTCTGGTTTATTTTTTATATTATGCTAGTTAAGCAAAAAGTAAATTATAGATAAGAATTCGAAATTCGTCAACATGAGCGAATATATTACACATTACTTTTATTCCATTACTAATATTATAAAATATTGAATAATTACGTATAAGATAATACATGAAATTGACATTTTTAGCAACATTAGGCACTGAGTATAAGGAGGTCAGCATTACATTCATAGTGAACGTAACGAACGTCTATGACACAGCTATAAACAATTTGGAAGTCAACATTATCAGCCCGGAAGAAAATAACTTTACAAATTATGTCGTACAATTTAAATTTTCAATCACATTTTAGTTTTCTTCTTGAATATAAATCTCAGTACACGTTGTTATTGTTTCAAACACGCATCATCAAGATTGTAATAATATTTTAACTTTTATTAATACCATAATCGAAGATTTTATCTTATAATATTTTTATTTTCAATAATAGTAAGAATCGTACACATAACTATAAAACTAAAATTAATAATAATTAAATGAATTTAACATGTTTCGTCTTTGACCTTTTAGAAACTTTTTTTTTTCCATAAATAAGACCTTTTTTTTAATAATATGAACTTAAATATTAATTAAAATATACCATCTCAGGTCATGGTTTTTAGACTAAGCATTACTCAATGGCCTAGGCGGATGTCAATGTTCGAAAAAATAACACTACAAATCGGTAATCAATTCAAGTCGTTTAACCAGCATTAGTCCGATAAATTCATAAGTAAGCAGTATTTATTCCGAAGATACAACAATTTACATAGGTCATAGTCTCTTCGGGACAAACATACCTTTATATAGATAATTATTTCTAAATTTAATTCCACGTTACAACCAAAAAAATTACTTCAACTCTACTTTCTTAAGAAAATGCAAACTATTAGTTTTCTTTCTCTACAGACCACTAAGCAAAATTGCGTTCATCAGAACTAATCTTATGTTGTTAACTTTAATAGAAGAATAAATTGATCTATTATTAAACTTAAACAAAAGTTAAGAGCATTTTTGTATACTCAATATTTTATGTAGACATTTTCACGATTTTTACATTTTCAATGACATGTAAACATTGTTTAATCGTAGTATGCTTATATTACATACTTATAATTTGCATAAAAAATTAAAATATCGTAAAAAACAAACTAATTTACTACGAATAGATACGTAGATAAAACCATAATTCACAGAACAAATACAGATGTTTTAAACGTTAAACTTTTAAATAGACCAATTCACTTGAATATTAAAACTAATTACACATAATTACTTCTGCAGAATGTATACTTCTTATATGTTGCATTTATTATTGCCCGTGGTCAGAGAAAAAACAAATAATTTATTATAAGTAATCAAAATATAAACATAATTTCTATTTTAATCGTCACTGGTTTTCCAAATAGTGATTCCTAAAGTTTTTAACTAAAATCAAGTATAAGTAATAATATATTGTATTTATTTAACCTAAAATTATTATGATATCCTAATCCTATTAATTTTTTAAAACAAAAAGCTAATTCGTTAATTTATTTAATTTTACACAACTTTCCTGATATAAGTAAAAATGCTATGTTATGTAACTAATGGTTAAAAAAATTCATATTTCAATAAAAAACGATAAAGAAGACATATCCTAAAAGCTCAAACAAAAGACAATGTTTTTGCAATATGTAGTTTTACAACAATTCAAGATTATGTACCTATAGAATTTTTTTAACTAGGAACAAATATTAGTACCAAATAGGTAGGTAACGGTAACAATTACAAAAGACCACCGGAAATAACTGACCAACGCTCAACTGAAATATTATGTTCTCAATGTTCATAGAATTAACAACGAAGACGTTGTCATCATTTGTGAGACACACAATATGAAAAAAAAACCAGAAGCGTTATATTATAGGTAGTACACATGATACAAGATATCGTTTTCAAATAAAATATAATTGTATTACCACAACCTATTTTACAGTTGTAGTCTTCTAACCTAAGAAAAAAATAAAAACGCATAAATAAAAAACGCATTCATCAGTCAGTTCACTATGAAATTTGTATAATTAAATGCTTAAAACTGAATCTATTATTTAAAACATTTCAGAGTCATCTTTTGTTCAGAAAATAAATAGCAATCATAATATCATGGGCTTTTAAGATTTGCTGATAATTTAATTCATTATTTTAATATTAATATTTTTAAATCTCATTGAAAATTCATAAAAAAGCTTTGACATTTTAATTAATTAATTTTTTATTAAAATCGGTATATATACACAAATCATTTAAATATATATTTAAAATAATCGGAATTCATCACAGTTATCGATATTATTTGAGGTGTATTTTTAAGTAGTATGACTGTGTTTATAGTAATATTCATAAAAAATTACCAATAAAAGTAATTGAAATTTGATATTTTATAAATGATCTAGCTGGTGTTATATTTTATTGTTGACTTCTTGAAAATCGCGTACTTACATAATTGTGTTGATACATGTCATATGGTTTTTTTATTCGTGTAGTTCACTAGTTCATTGAGTTGATTATTTTGAATTAAAAACATGTACTATAGGTCCTATAGTATTGTATTCTTTTCTGTGCGGTTTTTTCGTTCGTATGGTTTATCGTGCATAAAGTTTTAATTATTTTGTATTGAAAGTGCGAACAATAAATGATACAGATTCAAAATAATAATGAAAACCTCGAATTTCTTTCAGTAATACAGTAGATATTTGCAAAAAAATATATGATAGGTACAATAATATGATATTAATCACAGTAAAATGTCCCTAAATTTTAAAAACAATTTGAAACTCAATAATCCAAATTTAATTTATATTGAACACAATAACGTAAATTATACGAATAAAAATATGGTATTTAACTATAGCAGAAAAATTCAAAAACTTGTCAACTATTTTTAAATAAGATAGCGAGTTTCGAAAATATAGTGGTATGATCAATAGCTTACCTTATTTGCCTTTGAATATAGAGTTGATTGAAATTACGTGTTTTTAAAAGAAAATATTTCGCTTTATTTAGAAGAAATTTTTCTTATCATTTTTTTATTGTGTAACTAGAAAAAATAGACTATCAGGAACTGGCTTTTCCTTGCGTCTATGAAGAAAACTTCTAAATTTCTACATTCATCGTGGAATGTCCATAAAATGATACTGAAAGTTGGAATAACCACTTTTTAAAGCTTTGTGGTCATAGACATATTAAAATTTAGAATTTAAAAATGTGTCGGCAGACCAATCATAATTTATGATAATTAATACAGGAGACTATACAGGTTCAAATTTGATCAGATATATTAAATTTAAAACCGCTTAAAATAAAAATATGTGTGTACAAATTAAAAATAATTAAATTAACATATTAGATTAATAATGGCAGTAAGCCACAATATTAGAAAACAATGCTATTCTTTTTAATTTACTAATGTGTACCTACTTATGACTTTAAATATATACATTTCAAATGATAATATGCACAATATTTATGAATACATAAAATATATGATAAGTTTTCTTAAGCAGCTGCTTGCATTGAATTGTTTATAATTTATTACAGCTCTCTTAGTTAAACATTACAATTCATTACTTATTACAATATACTAAAATTATATTAAATATAATATTTTAATTTTAAGACTCAGTTGGTTCATTATAAATGATATAAGTAACAACTATGAAAACAATTCTAAAGGTAAAGAACAATTAAGGAATGTTCAAAAAATAAAGATAATTATAAAAAATATTAAAATAATATGGACTATGAAGATTAACAAGAATAAAACCAAAATAATTACTATATATAAATAAGTAGAAAAAAGTTACTAAACTCCGACATAATAATCGAAAACAAGAATTAAAAACAGTTTATGTTAAATGTTTTATGTACCTATGAAGCAAAATAATGTACAATAAAACATCAAAGACAGACATAAAAATAAGCAAAGGTTTTCTAATTTATTTAATGTAAAAACTGTCAATTTAATACCAAAATAGCAATTATAAAGAACTATGTATGGAGTGTAGGAGTGTATTGTCATACAAAGTAGAAACATACGCAATACACAAAAATTTTAAATTTTAAAACATGGTACCCTCTTGAAGAAGAATATTAAGAACTATAAGGATAGAGAAAGTTTGAAATAATGAATTATACTTTATATGATATCAGCAGCATTGCAACAGTGTAACATAACTAATTTTTTTTAAAACTTATATTGAGTTGTTACCTTTGATATTAGTGTGAATTCTACAATACTTATTAAAATTTACAATACAATACTATCCTTGCACTATTTAATAAATTTTAAAGTAACACTATCAATATTCATTTAATATATAAATTTAGATATTAATTAATTACAAAAAACATTACACATTACACCTATATTATTATATTAATAATTTATTTTATAGATATTGATAACACATATCATTAAAAATAATTAAATTAAACTAATTTAATACCATTTCACATGATCATTATTTATAATTTCATGTTTAGCATAATTATAAAATTATTCAAAAATAGACAATTACAATATTATATTATTAACTTTTATTATATTTATTATTGTTATTAATTACTACTATTTATAAATAATAGGTTTTTAAATTTTCTTAATTTGTTTGAAGGCTGGGACAACTTTTAGAAATTTAATAATAATTTATCTGAATTAAAAATTTTGAACAAATTCTGATCAAATGTAACTAACTAAATAATTACAGAAAATTAAACACTTTAAAACAATAAGTAATATATTTTTACCTATATAGTATTATAATGAACCAAATATTATATGAAAATATCAATGGCAAACAAAACCTAATAAACTTAAGTAGGGAAGTAAACATATATTGGTGCATAACAAAAATGTATGCTTAGTCAGCAATATAAAATAAAATTGTACTTGAGTCATTACTCATATTATAAGTGTGGAACAATGCAAAATATTAAAACCTCAAGTACCTACTCTATAGCTATACGTAATAGTTCTTAGAAAAGGGCGAGATCACATAACAATATTGAATATATATATATATGTGTGTATAATATATATGCTACCTAAACATTTGTAAGTAATACACGTCATATACATAATCGCCGAATGTGCCCGGTAGTATATAAAATAATTCACGTACGGTAAAAATATACCAGCAAATACACACTTACTTGGATATTACTGTAGGTGGTATGGTGAAATCCTTTCGGGGACCGTATACTAAACGGGCCCTTATACACATTGTTACAAAAATATATATAGTGTACGTGTGTGTGCTGTGTATAATATTATAAACAAAACTAGTAGGTGTAAATATTTAAATTAATTAGCGTAATGTAAACAGACAAATAATTTTTAAAAAAAAAAATAAACAGATAAAAAAAAAACAAAACAAAAATTGTACTACGAAAAAATAATACGAAAACAAAAACAAAACAGTCGGACCGCCCCGGACCGTGAAGCGTTATCACGTATTTTGTAATTATGTTCCGAATAAAATTCGTGCCGTGATTGCGGCGGACGGTGGTGTGTGTACGCACAACGCGCGCGTTTGCACACGTACGTACGCGGGTCGACACTCGACCGCCTTGGAAAGAGGCCGCCACCCGGCGGGGGTACTCGGCGGCACCGGACGACGACGAAAATCCATTCTCCCGAACCACCACTCGTTCGCGCCACACAGGCCACCGGTGCAGCCAACCCGCCGAGCGCCGGGACATTCACGGTCACGTCGTTTGCCAGACGTACTGACGAATGGTAATGCACTTCAAAACACAAATTCGTTATTAAACGCGATCTAGATTCTAGCGCTCCAACACTTGTGAACGCAGCTTAATGTTAATGTGTTACGGTCGTCGCGACTACGTTTTACTTGTTCGACCGTGTTTTAAACGATAAATAATAATAGATTATATTTTTTTTTTCTGTTTCCCGTCGTCACCGTGTCGCCCGCGTATTCGTCCCGTGCACCGAAGTGAACGTCGGGTCCGTAACACCCGTTCCGCCGTTGTTATTACGGCGTACTGCGCGCCATTTGTCTCGCGCTGTGTGTGCACGTCGTAGAAAGTAGTTGCGTTCAAAACCCTGTGATATTTGTCCTGTACAGGTGATCTCGTCTAAAATTTATATTTAATGTGCTTTCCGGTGTCAGATTGATTAATCCGGATTAGCCATACCGTAGTAGATACGTCCTGATGTCGACATAAGACTTTCGTACGCAGACTTGCTCAACTCTATATTGTTGGCCTACACCTGACCGCCACAATGCCAAGCATTGGTGTCAACCTTCGAGTGACTGGTTACTGCAACCAGGGTGGTAGAAAGTACATGGAAGACATGTTTTCAGTGGCTTACCAACAGACACCGGACATGAAAGATCTGGAGTATGCCTTCTTTGGAATATTTGACGGACATGGTGGTTCAGAAGCAGCTGCATATGCCAAAGATCATTTACTTGACACTATCATCAAAGACGATGCATTTTGGTCAAAAAACGATGATGACGTTTTAAGAGCTATCCGTAATGGTTATGTAAATACTCATATTGAAATGTGGAAAAACTTGGGTATTTATAAAGTTTACATTTACTTATAGACTAACCCATGAATAATACCTATTTTTTTAGAAAATTGGCCGAGAACTCCTTCTGGGTTACCTAACACATCGGGAACGACTGCAAGTATAGCCTTTATAATGAGAGGAAAAATTTATACAGGTCACGTTGGTGATAGTTGTATTGTACTTGGTTATCAAGATGAAGGTAATAACTTTTGTTTTACTAATTTTTTTTCAAATGTATTTACATTTATTTTTTATTTTTCTATTTTAGAAAACGGAGAATGGAAAGCTAAACCATTAACACGAGATCATAAACCAGAGTCATTTGAAGAAAAATTAAGAATAGAAGAGTGTGGTGGTAAAGTTATTAATAAATCTGGTGTTCCTCGAGTAGTATGGAATAGACCTCGTATTGGTCACAAAGGTCCTGTACGTCGTTCAACTACAATTGATGAAATACCGTTCTTAGCAGTAGCTCGTGCTCTTGGTGATTTTTGGAGTTTCAATTCTGAGCATAATAAATTTGTTGTATCTCCTGAACCAGACGTTGAAGTATTCAATGTTGATCCTTCTAAACATCGCTGTTTGATATTTGGTACCGATGGCTTATGGAATGTTCTTTCAGCAGATGTTGCAATTTCAAATGTATATGCAACAGAAAAACATAATATTGAAATGAAATCTTTAGAAGTAAGAAATTTACTTTGATAAAATATTTAATTTTTTTATCAAATTTTTTTTTTTTTTTTTTAGAAACAAGATTGGTTAAATCCATCAAAAAATCTTGTTGATAAGGCAATATTACAATGGAATAAAGTAAGATTGAGGGCTGATAATACCACAGTTATAACACTAATGTTAGATCCACCTGGTCCACCTGCTCCACAAGTGTTATTAAAACATAAAATGCAGACTGGTAATATGAAATGTGAAGATAAAAATAGTTGCAAATGTGTTGATGGAGATCCACAAGTTCAAAGATTTGGTAGAGGTACAAGTGGAGGTTATGCCATATTTACTAGATATCCTACAGACCATCATCTAAGAGCATCAAGTGCTCATGCCAGCACTTCAAAACCGTAAGTTACTTGGTATTTAACTTAAATATTTGTTCTTATTTAATGTTTCTACTTTTTTTTTTCATAGATGTCCTAATCCTCCTATAGAAACACCGCCAATAAAAACAAATAAAGTACTCAGAACATCTGCAAAAATTAATAATAATAACAACAACAATAATAGCTCTAGTAAAAAAGATGGTGAACCAGCAGGAAAAAGATGTACGCGAACAAGCAGTGGAAGAATTGTCAAAAAACAAAAACTGAACGAAAAGTCAACTAATGATGAGACTTCCAAATTTGGTAATAGTGATTCTGAAAATGAACAAATGCCACGTGAACCTTGGCTGTTGTCCCCAACTAAATCAATTAAACCTGACGAGACTAAAGTAGGTGTAGTGTTAAGAAGTTCTGGAAAAATCCAAAAAGTATGGAAATGTAATGACACCAAAGAAGATTCAACTCCAGCTAAGATAACAACAATATCAAAAATTAAGACACCTTTAACAGAACCAATGACTAGAATATTAAGATCACACAAAAAAAAAGATAGTAGAAGATTTAAAAAAGTTGTATCCAGATCATCTTGGTCAGCAGGCATGGTAACTCGTAGTCATAGGAGAAGTGTTAAATATTAATTATATCATGTATAATTGATTTCCCTGTTTATTTTAATTAATTTTACCACATTTTGTCAACTACGAAAACCATTCGATATCCTTATATTTTGTAGTATTGTTTTTATTTTATGTTATTTGACATAGTTTTGCTTTATCACACAAAATGTTATTAAATTATTGTGTTTTTTGTTTTTTTTTTTTTTTTTTTAAACAAACAGAAATATTTCAATTGAAATAAATAAAATCAGGTATTTTGTTTTCTACTAATTTAAAGTTTTTTGACTAATTACAAAACTGATAATTATTTGTTCAATAGAATGATTGTACATTTTATAAAATCACCAATTTTATTATTTTTTTTTTTATCTTTTAGAAAAATTGTTAAATGCTAATATTATAAAATTTAATTATTAGTTATGTATAAAACAATTATATTTTTTTAATTGTGAACATTGTATTATAAATATATGAACTTTATAATTGTTTACATGATATGAAATGTAAATGTTTGTTGAAACTATTAAGATTAAATCATACATATTTATATTAAGTTTGTTTTTTTAAAGATCCATTCTCACGTGGCTACATGACGTTTACTTTATAGCCTACATAATGTTATCTAAGTGATCTTGTATTGTAGTTTTGTTTCTTATAAAAATAATATTGATAATATGATTCATTTAATTGATAACGAATGTTCCGTTTTCCTGGAGTTCATAGTTCCCTCTAGTCGCCCTATATGACCAAACCACTTGCGCCTGTACTATGTTCAGTCAATATCACAGATTGTGGCAATTGACTATAGCGCGCTTAGTGGAGTTTGACGTAGTAAAACATATGAAGGAAGACGCGGTAAATTTAAATTTATGAATACCATAATATTGTATATATAATCAGCAATATCAATTATTTACTATCTCTTAAAATTCTCTAATCAGTAATCATTTCTAAAACTTTAATTTATTTTGTAAATTTGTATTAACAAAATCATACATTACCAAATAAAAATAAAACACTGAAGTCAATGAACAAATAAAATTGTTTTTGAAAATGCTAACGTCATTGCGTCATCATCTTCTTTGCTACTGGTATCTTCGTCTCAGTGTCGTATTTGCGGAAAGGGGATCAAGGGGATTAATTCCCCCCCCCATAGACTGTATACACACAAATAATTATAGTCATATTATTTAAAATATTATAATATAATGTACAGTATTCTCATTAGTATCTTTATTTATAGTCATATTCCCCCATGACAAAAACCTAAATACGCCACTGCTTCGTCTAGATTAATATCGTCATTATAATTTGTTCTAAAATGTTGTCACTTAAATGGAAAATCTTTCATGAAATCATCAACTTGCAATTTTTTTCAGTGTGGTACACATTTCTTTCAATTATCTATACGGTTAAAACTTCCATGCTTTGCTCGCAAGTTTTTCGACATTTGAAATTTAAAATGGCATTTTTTGTGGTTACTTTTCCTTTTATTTGTGCCAATATTAGCTTGAGTGGATTTCAATAGAAATGATAAAACGAAAAAAGCTCTATACTTATGTACAGCATTTTTTTCATTTTAGTAAATGTACCCTTTCGACTTTCAAATAGTTTTTATTAACCCTATAGGTAAGGTCTGATTAAATAATCTATCTGTCTATCTACCTATTAAATAGATTAACGGTCGGAGATTGTTTTTACAAAGGTTAACCATAACGTATGCTGTATGCAAAAAACGCACTTCTTGTTCTTTAATAACAGCCATCAATATCATTTCGATTACGCTTCATTGTAAAAATTGTCAAGGAAATAGGATACCTACCTACTGACATTTATCATAAAATGAATGATTTTTCTTACAGTATCAGCATCAAAATTGTCGATTTCATGAGTTTATTTTGCTCTTTTTCAAGTATTTTGTAATGAAGTAAACATTAAACATATACTAAATATATGTCTAGTTTCAGCCTTTCGGGCACGAAATATTAGCTACATTACTTGTTATACCTATACGGCTATACAACTATCACAGCTGAACAATCATTTTCAGCTTTACTCCTGATGATGCTCAAAACAGTTAAAATATTAATATGAAAAAAGTACGATTTGTGCAGCTACCAAGGAAAATATTATAATTTAGATTTTGTTTATGTTTTTTATTTAATAATATTCGAACGATATTTTGCCTTTTGATATTTAAAATTTGTTTTGTAACAAACTTAATTTAAATTTAATAGGAGCTATATGCATCAAACCTTTAACAATTAATAATATATCAACATATCATATTCATAGACTAAACATAATAATGTCCGGATCGTCCGGTGCAGCATTATCGACCCGTTCATGGTTTTTACAATAAAACAAACTCAATTTAAGATATCTTATTAAATAGTGGTACCAATAGAAACAACAATGTGGTACCTAATACATATCATACGAATTTATAATATTCATATAATATAGATAGTTTTAAACAGGAATAATATGGGATAATACTGAATTGGCTTTATTGATCATATAATACACCAAAACTATGATATTAACATCTATGAGGTTTTAAATAGTTTTTCTAGATTATACCACAAAAGTAGCATTTTATACTTTAATTTTAATATATAAGTTCTGTCAAGCATAATACTTATAAGCTATCAAGTTATAAACTAATTTTTATAAATAAATTCTTGAGTCTTTTCTTTATTTATTAAAATTAGTTTCATGCATAAGTAATAAAATATTATTTTTTTTTAATATGTACAGTTTAAATTATAAGCATTATAGGTCATAGCTCAGAAAGATACCAGTCACCGACAATTAATATTGCACAAAGTGAAGAGATTATATTATTAAACTATACATATAAACGGATAATTTTTAATTTACAAGAACCTTCCCCACCATCTCCCAAGTCACCGATTTTTTTTTTTTGTGTAGGTACATGCCGGCGTAGTTTAGTCATCTATGAATTTTAATTTAGATTTTGAAATTTGAAATCAATAATAATTGTGCATAACATTATCTGTGCTAAAGATAATATTATCTATTCGTAATACCTTATCGTATTTTGATAAAAATTTGCTACTATCATAATATATTCCTACTATTGACTTATATACTTTTTATAATCAATGTTACTTCCACAGAGTACTGAATAGATAAAATTCTATAATCAATGTTACTACGAGTACTACCACCAAACACCTATTCACTATTCAATTTCAGTGTTATGTACTTATGTTTGCTAATTTGCTATGGTTAACTGTGGATTAATAGTTATTACTTAATACTTGAAAGTTTAAAAATTTACTATGGGCCGAATGCCTGCTCAACTTTTTGTCTGACAACTTTACATTCTTAATTTTTTCAGTTATTTATTCATATTTATATTAACCTATTTTTAATTCTCTAGTCATCTATATTTTTATTAATGAGCCTTGAATTACCAAGATGGAACATATAAAAACTCCAAAAGTAATTTACATGATTCCTAGTCGTGTCCTTTAAATTATAAATATTGAAAATTACTTGATAAATAAGTGTTGAATATTTTGTTGGGTGCTTGTGGCTAAGGTTAACACATATTATGCATGTGTGCTAGAAAACTAGATTCCTCCATAAATTATCCTAATCAACACAATCCCTAACCTACCCACCTGTAGTGTTTAATTGTTCTACCCAGAGAGGTTATGGTGGTTTGTATTCTGTAGTTATTATAGTAGATCTAACCCAGGTTGTTGTGCATGCTTTTGTAGGACACGCAGTGAGTTGTGTGTATAAATCTGTAACACATGCAGTTGTATGGCTGAAAAAGACAGGTTCGTGTCACCGGCTGGCTTCCGTCTGTATCGTTTGTCGTCAGCTCCTGGATCGTATTCTCTGTTCTGCCGCTTGAGGTCGTGGCTACAGCGTGAAGCTGCTATGGCCAAAGTGGCTAGGCAACAGCAACAGGACGGTTCGGTCATTAAAAAGGTACAACGCGGTTATTTAGTTAAAAAAGAATGCTGATTACCTAATAGTTAAAATTATTATTATAATTTATAAGTATAAAAATTTACATTAAATACAATTTATTCAGCTATTGACTTTAAAAATATATCAAAAGATAATTGATTTTATAGTTATCAATTAATTATATTTCATTAAAATACTCTTAATGTTTATTATTTACTTCGCCTAAACAATATACATATTAATATACTTATATAATTTTATAATTTTTAAATATATCATAATTAACTAAGTATAATATTATTAATATAAGAGTAATATTAATTTTCAACTCTACAGAGAAAATAATTAAAAAACTATGTTAGGTTTAGAACTTTTCAAAAGATTTTTCATATTCAATTTGATAAAAATTTGAGTTTCAAGTTACCATGATTTTACCAGTGGTTACAAATTTATATTCAAATATGCGACTAAAACACATGTTTTATGTGAATAGTTTTGGTGGTGGTGTTGGTACATATAAGCTAGTTATAGTGACTTATTTTCAAGTTTTACTTTTAAAGATATTATTCATGGGTATGGTTAAAATAAAAACCAATTATAATTTTAAAACAAATAATTTAATGAGAATTAATTGTAAAACTAGTAAAAAAGAATTATATTATGTTTATGAAAAGTACATTGTTATCTGAAGCTTTAAAATAATACTTGCATTTTGATTAGAAAATAATAATTATTTTTTAATATTAATTATGTTTTTATTGTAACATTATTTACATATTTTCATAGTTTTCAAAAAAGTTTTATTAGATTCATATAGGTTAAAAACCATTTTTATATAAGTTTACTCTATAATTGCATGGTTTTGCATATGTTATATATGCATGAAGTTATAATCCCTTATCCATTTATTGTATATTTTTATTTAAAAAAAATCATTGATCTTATGTGTTAAGTTATATTTTAAACAATATTAAATTTAGGTGTCATATTTTAATTATTTATTTTGATAAACCTAATTCTTTTGTAGTTTAGAATAATAATAATTTAATTATAGTTAGTAGTTAGGTACTAATTAATAAAATTACCAAATCAATTTTATTTAAATAAATGTATAAAATTTATTTTGGTAAAGCAGACATTTTAAATATTATTTTAATGATAGTTATTTTATTACAATAATATTTTGATAATTTATTATAAATTTAAATTGGTATATTATACATATTAGGTATAATTCTAAAACAATTTATTACTATCTTAAATACCAAGTGAAATAAGAAATATATAGATTTTAGATTTGTTTATTTCTCTGGATTTGTTTTTGAATAGTTTAAGTGATCCAAAACTATTTTATATCAACATTTGAATTGAAATGGTATTAGAAAAAAACCAATATTAGTATTACTCTGAGGTGAGTAAAGTGAACCTGATGTCCTTGTATTTTTTTTTCTACTTTTTAAAAATATAATATCTTTAATATTTCATAATTGATAAAATATATTTATTAAAAGTTTTAATAACACCAATAATATAATTTAGTGATTACTTAAATGTTTAAAGATTATTATGAAGTGGATGGTTTGTAAAATATTTTAATCCTATATGTATCATTACTCCAATAAAATATGAATATATGTTATATCATACAAATAATCACCATTATTACAATTCATATAATTAAACAGTTCTATTAACATTAAAATATGTTGGATTATCAAAAAAATCAATATATTTAACAATTTATTCAAATGTAATGAGTTCATTTTGATTTTAAAATATTTTTAAATACAGATAACCATGCAATTATCAAAAATTTCACATGCTTTATTATTATATAATATAAACTCACATACTTGTTGATTTAATGACAATATTGTAATTTTATAAAAAAAAAAAAGGTAATAGTAAATATTAATACATTTTTAATATGGTTACTTGTATACATATCAGTAATTACTAACTTTACCCAATTAACATTATTCTCGTAGGGCATATAGGAGTGTGTAATCAATCATAATTCAAGCCTTGATATTGTTGTAATCAAATTGTTTTGCCAATAGTTTATTATTTTGTCTGTTGACAGTAATGTGTGTTAAGTTAGAATTCACTGTACTTTAGAATCCATTAGATGATTTTTCAACTAGGAATTAATATTCTAAACTTAAATTAAAATATTGTATAAGAATAAGTAAATAAATGATCAATGAAAGAAAATAAATAATAATTTTAATAATTTTTCAACTCATTTTTATATACTCTATTGAAAGGATTATTTTTATAATTTCAAAACAAATTTGGACTCCTATTTCTTAAAAATTAGACAAAATTCATGTATACATTACTACAGCTTTTCCTATTATCATTCTATCATACTTACAAGAAAACTATAATTAATTCCAAATAAAACATTGAAAAGAAAATGAAGTTATAACGTACTAATATATCAACTCTTAAAAATTAACCATTAATACATTTGTCGATCAGGAGTAAGACTCTTTAATTTACTCAAGACCTTGTACACCATTATTTCATATTATCTCTTAAACTTAACTAATAACATCTGTATTGTTTGTTTAATTCTAATATAATTTACTACAAATATTATGTTATTTATGTTTTAAATGTGCTTATTTCAAATTAGAAATTCACAGACTAAAAATTAATCTAGTAACAAAATCGCTTTCAACAATTATTGTAATATTACCTACTATTTAAAAAATATATAGTAGTAGGCATATTAACTTTTAAAATAAAACATAATATGCTTTTGAAAAATATGAAATGCATGGTGTAAAATTTGAGTCTAATAAAATCATGCGTTTTCATAACTTTGTGTAATTATAAAAATATAATGTGGTTTACTTTGGAATATTCAAGATTGTATTTTGCTTTTTCACTAATAGCGTAATCATTTTTAGCTTTAGGTATTGACATTTTCTTGGTATTATTGTATGTATAAATTAAACTCCATTTTAAGTTATGTTACACATAGGTCATAACTGCCCTTAATCCTTCATAAAAAAAGCTTAAGTAGCTCACAAGTTAAAATGCTATTAACTTAATAATGCTTTTACTTTTATCTAATAAATTTGTTAATTTATGTTAAACTGTGTATTTTTCTTTATTTCAGATAGAAAATGTGCGAATGTTAGACCGATATAATTCCAAAAAAATATCTGATGGTACATTATACTTAACAGCTACCCATTTAATCTTTTTTGATGCTGCAAATAATAAAGAATCATGGGTGCTATTAATGCATATAGGAAGTGTTGAAAAATTACCTATTACTACGATTGGTTGTCCAATACTAATAAGATGCAAAACATTCTTATCAGTCACATTTGTCATACCAAAAGAAAGAGATTCTCATAATATATTTACGTCATTGCTCGTTCTTTGCCAACCTGGTTTGTATTTTAATTTTTAATTATTCTTTAATTTATAAATATTATACATTAATATACATTTTTAGCAAAAATCGAAGATGTTTACTGCTTTTTATACAAATCAAATTCTGACAAGATATCGAAAAGTGCTGGTTGGGATAGTTTTAATCTAGAAAAAGAATATAAAAGAATGAATGTACCTAATGAATCTTGGAGTCTAACTACATTAAATCAAGACTATCAGGTTAATATTTTTAATTTATTTCATTTTTAAAATTCTAATGTATATATAATATATGATAATGATAAGCTTATTACATTTAATAAATTATTGACAGTTGTGTGATACTTACCCAAAGTTCCTTTTTGTACCATCGTCTGTGAGTACATCCATTTTAATCGGCAGTTCAAAGTTTCGTAGCAAAGAACGATTACCAGTACTTACATACTTACACAGAAATAAGGTATTTTACAAAAAAAATTGTTGTTTATTTGATTATACATTTTTATTATTTATAGGCATCTATTTGCCGCTGTGCTCAACCATTATCTGGATTTAATGCCAGATGCATGGAAGATGAACAACTTCTTACATGTATACTATACACAAATCCTGGTAGCGAGTACATGTATGTTGTTGATACTAGACCAAAGGTAATTTTATTGAAAAAAATAATTAAACAAGACTTATTATTCAATTTTATTTTTTATTAATTTTTAGATAAATGCTATGGCAAATCGAGCAACAGGGAAAGGTTATGAAAATGAAAACTTTTACGATAATATTAAATTTAATTTCTTAGGTATAGAAAATATTCATGTAATGAGAAATAGTTTGTCTAAAGTTGTAGATTGTGAGTACCATATTATGAAAATTATAATTTATAAATAATACTAATTATTATTTGTGTCATTATATTTATTTGAATATTAATATCATTTTCTAGTATGTGAACAACGAAACCTATCTATGTCACAATTTATTGGAGGATTAGACAGTAGTGGTTGGTTACGGCATATCAAAACTATTCTTGATACATCAGCTTTTATTTGCCAAGCAGTTAATAGTGGAAAATCTGTTGTGGTTCATTGTTCAGATGGATGGGATCGAACAGCTCAAGTCTGTTCGCTGGCTTCATTAATGTTAGATCCATATTATCGTACACTCCAAGGATTTCAGGTAAAATTTAATATTTTACTAAAAAGTTGAAATTATGTTCTGATTTTTAATTTGTTTAAATACTAGGCGCTTATTGAAAAAGATTGGTTAGCATTTGGTCATAAATTTAGTGATCGATGTGGCCATATAGCTGGTGACTCTAAAGAAGTCTCCCCAGTATTTACTCAATTTATAGAAGCAACATGGCAACTCACTATGATCCAACCTACTACATTTGAATTCAATGAAAGATTTTTATTAATTTTACATGACCATGTAACATCGTGTCAGTATGGAACTTTTATTGGAAACTCTGAAAAAGAACGTGTTGATCTCAAGTAATTATATTCATTGTATTGCATTAAGTTAATTAAATAATTTATTCTTTTAACACTTATATTTTAAATAATTATTTAGACTTAAAGATCGTACATTTTCTTTTTGGGGCTATGTTGAAGAACATAAAAAAGAATTTTTAAATCCTCTGTATAGTGCTCAATTAGATACTATGAGCCCTGATTTATCTCCTCAAAATATCAGATTTTGGCGGGGAATGTATTGTCGTTTTGAAAATGGAGTTCATCCTCGTGAGCATGTATATGACATTTTACTAGCGACTAGTGAACAAACAAAATCTATTGATGATCATGTAAAATTCCTACAAAAAAGATTATCATATTTTAAACGTAAGATAAGTGATGGTGCAGACATGGTCAAAAACAGTTTATTCTCAAAAGAAATATGTATAGAACCTATGAGTTATAACAAAGAAGATAATAATATTCAATCTATGAATGATACATTTGATAATTTAACTGTTATGGAACCAAAACTAGATGAAGCCCATAAGGTGGCTATTGAATGGAAGAGCTTAAGAGAAGCAGTTTCTTGTGAATGTTCTACTGATTCCTCTACAAAAAAAGTAATATATTGTTGTTTTAATATCAATAATTTAATTAAATTTAAATTTATCTTAATACAATAATAAATAATTACCCAAAGTGGGGACATAACCACTAGAACGTAAATAGTAAGTCGACATTATGAATATAAATGAATCTATTTAATGACAAAATTGATGCATTATTTATAGGTGTACTATAATTATTTAAGACACCTATTTCTTGGACTTCAATACTTGACAAGTAATGAGGTTTCAGGAAAAAACTGTCTTATGTGTTGTTGTACCTCTGCTACAATAATTTATTTTATTTATTAGTTAAAACATTAGTGGTTAATAATTATTATTATATTTTAGTTATAGCATAGTGGTACCCAATAAAATTTAACTTTATTCCCAGTTACAACAATTAAGACTTTTTTTCTGTGAAATTGTAATCTAAATAATTTCATAATAGATATTATACATCTTTTAATTATATTTTGCTATAAATTACAGAAATATAATATTTATATTTATATTTTATATTTAGTATCACTGTTGGAAATGTGGAAATGTGTTTTGTACTCGTTGCATTAATATGAATGTTCCATTACCTGGTCACCTTAGTCAAGATCCTGTGCCAGTATGTCACGGATGTCATAAAATTGTTTCAAGGTCATCAACAGAATCTTCATAAGTTCATTGTGTTATTATTCAATTAATTATTAGTTAATTTTAATTAAAAACCAGTTATAATATTTATTCTTAAATATGTAAATATAAATGCTAGATGGTATTACCTATTCCAGTTATAAATTAATTTATTTATATTATCAACATAATAGTCTAAATTATCTCATAGATCTCTATTTTTTTAATAGTACCTAATTTGTCTTCTTTATGAAAAATAAAAACTATCGCACAATACTTCCAATATTAAAATCAAATAATATATGATTTAAACAAATTAAAATGTTATGTTAATTTTTTATTGTATTCTAAATAAATCGAGAAAAATAATTGCACAAATATGATATAATCTATGTTATGTGCTAAAAGTTATTTTACATTAATTTTACTATTTATCAAACTTTAAATTGTTTAATTATATATTAAAATTACATTTATATAAAGCAAAATTGATTATATTTTAATTTAAAAATAATGAATTGTATTTAGTGTTTACTAACTTACTACAATCATATTATATAAATAAAAAACAATACTGAATGGTAATAATATTTTAATTGCACTTTATATCTTATAGTTTTAATTTTAAATATTTCATAAATTAAGACCATAAACTATACTAACTTAAAATTTAAATAAAGCAATAATGTATAATTATACATTATAGTTTAAAATTAGCAGAATTCACTTATTCTACACTTTAAATTAAAACTATAAGTTAAAATTTGTTAGAAATTATTATTGTTTATACCTAAGATCATTGATAGTACATAATTTTAATTAATTTTGTTTTATATTTATGTTAATCATGAATGATATAGTTATAATAAATACTGAAATTATAAGTTTACATACACAATTGATATATAAAAAGAAAGTGCCTTTTAACATTTATATGTTGAAAAATTGATTCAAATCTATACTATTGATATATTATATAGGTATTTACCAACTAATAATGAAGCATTAGGCTCTTAAATTAAATAATAATTTAAGTTTTAATAATGTACTTTATTTCCAATACCATATTACTATGTACATGTTTATATATTGCATTATTATACTATTATAATCTATGATATTAATTTCAGAACAATAATTATAAGATGTTTTTGTTTATGCCAAATAACTTCAACAATTATTTAATTTGTGTATAACTGCATTAGGAATATGATATTACATGACTATGTTGTTTCCATATTAAAAATGTAAAATCTAGCAATATTTCTTTAAATCAAAAAATAATTTTGAAGACCAAATTGATCAAATTGAAATTTAAAGCTATTCAAAATTCCTATTTCGGTTTAACAAGTATGACTTATCTATGTATTTAAAAATTATTTTTTTACAGTACACATATAATGAAGTATAACAATTTCAGATGGTTTAAGTGGAAAGGGCACTAATCAGCCTTAGTTCCCAAACAATAAGACATTTTCGAATCACCTGCACATCAATCATACATTTTAATAATAGATAATTACACTGATGTCATCTGAAATATCTATGGAACATTTCTATGTAGTAGTATACCTATTGATTACCACCTACCACCCTCTCCAACCTACTATAAGTTCATTTTATCACAAAATTTTTAAGTTTTTCTTGAGACATGGTAGTTAGAAGTCTCTTTTCACCAATTTCAAACCCCAGGTGGCAGGCATTTATATTCATTAACTAAAATTAACTATGACATTTGTCATAGTTGAATCATAGACCATAGTACAGCACCACTGGCAATAGTAAAAGCACAATTTTCGTCAGAAGTCAGTACCTATCTAATAATTATTAATTGAAAACCCATTTATGGCAATGAATAATAACAAAAGTAACTGCTGCAATACTGATTAGAAGGGCTCGGATTTTGTAGCAAAATAAATTCTTAAAAAAGCATTTAAAGTAGCAAAAAAATAGCATTTATTAAATTAAATACTAAAAAAGGAATTTACGACCATATTATATTTGGTCAAGTTACTTTCATTAAAACTCATCCTATTGGGTACTGATAACAATTATAGAGAAATTATTTAGAACACTATACCTCATTGATTTATATATTTTACAGGTCATCTAAAGTATTAGAATATTTAGAATGTGCTACACTACACAGATATAATTCAAATAATTTTAAAACTATACAATTTCGGCATTATAACGATAATTATTTTATCAGTTATCCATTTATTAATATTTTTTTCACCGGTTTTATAATTTCTAAAAATAATAATACAGTATTTTTAGTTTACAACTTATAAATAAGTTAAATTTTCAAGAAAAGTAAGTAAAAATTAAGAAAAAAGGAAGCAAATAGAGGAAAAAGCAAATTTTGTGAAAAAAAAGTTTACTTCATTGATATCAGAACGATTTAAAACGTATTTATGTAAAATAATTATTTTTCTATTACACTCCCCTCAAAAAAAGCATTTGCTATAAAATATTAAAATCCGAGTCCAACTGATTACTGATTAGTGACAGTGAGTAGTGACTACTTAGTTAATTGTTAATAGTTAAGAACGCACCCTTTGTTCTTTGTGTTTCTGAAATAATAGCTGAAAACAATGACGGTAGATAGCGTTGTTGTTACCATTGGAAACCTCATCAAAATATCTAACATGTAAAACCCGCAGCTACAATTCTCTTTAAATTTTTAAATTTTAACAAAAAATAAATTATAAAATTCTATAATCAATAATATCTCCTATCATTAGATTATGACTATGAGCCCTTAGGTACTATTTATTTTAGGGATAGAAGAAGATCAAGATGTAGCTTTAAAGGTAAGTAATTTTTAATTATTTTTTTTTGTGCGTGAAATAATTTGAGAGTTAAATACAAAATTCCTCGTATTACATTGTTCTTATAACAATTAGATAAGTATTGAAATTGCATACCTTAGTTGCATTTTATTTTATATCTAAACATTAGATTAGGCTAAGTTCCAAATTTTTACAAAATACATTAAAATCATATTAAAATTGGTTTGTAGTTGAAAATTAAAAAAATAATTTTAATAAGCAAAGATGAATATAAAATTCAATTAACCGCATAAGTTTTTTTTTACTTTAAATAAAAATAAAAACTAGTATAAAATCGTATACATTTTGTACAGGTAAGTAATTAAGTTGAAGAGAATAAAGTTTTGAGGACATGACTATGCACACCTAAAACAAGAATTATTGTTATGGAGTTTTGTAAATAATTGGATTGATTTTATTCTAATAATAGTTCAGTGGTTTTAAATTTTAAACATAAAACACCAACGACTTTTTACGTTTTTTTTTAATCATTATTTAATTTTTTGAATAAAATCGTACACACCCAGTTTAAAAATCGCAATCACTGATTTATAATAGGTTCTTATACCTAATTCATTGTCTTTTGTAAACATTTAAAATTTATGAATCATTAAGTTTTTATCTGTAAATATTTTTTCAGTTATTATCTACATTTTACAATATATCTGCATTATAAATAATTACTTATCAATTAGAGCCGTCTAACAACACTATTAAACTGTATTAATGATAATAAGTAGTCGCCATAGTTGACACTCGACAAGAGTTGAAAAAATTTTAAACAATTAAAATTTGAAACACTAAATTATGGTTTGATACTGTATAGCAATGTCAAAAAAAAATTGGTACCTATATGATCTAACATATAAATGTTTATTTACTTAATCATACATAATTTATTATTTATGTAGGTAGTTAGGTACACTACAACTATATATGGTATATTATGCATATTTACTATTTTACTACCTTCCAATATACAAATGTAAACATTTACCTACACATAAAAACATTAATTATGTTATAACAAATTATCTCACCATAATTCAACTGTAGATCTGAATTTTGAACGAATGAAGAAAAAATAGGCTTCCACCTATCTCGTGTATTTACTACAGTAATATTAAATTAAATAAATTTATATTATTAAAGAAAAAAAAACAATACATTAAAATTCAGAATAAATTTATAGCGTTTTACTGTAGAAAGACACGGAAAGACTGTTGATGTCAAAATTGGACAAATGAATGTCGCTTGAACCAATACAATATTTTATGTAGATAAGGACATAATTTACAGTTTATAAATTATATAATATAATACATTTAATAAAGGTTATGAATTTATGATAATAGTCATTCTCATTAGTCGTTAGTCATTAATTATAGAATGGCTATCATCACAATACATCTCATATTAGTTAAACATTATAAGTTTAATATATCAATATAATTGTAATTTGTAATTTAAAAAATTTATAAATTATAATTAACTACATCAATATAGCAAATGGGAATTATCATACAAAACAAATTATTATGTAAAACACGAAAAACATTTTGGAGCCTATTTGCCACCCCATTTCCACCTATTACTATAAATAAATTCATTATTATTATTTTTAAACACACTGGATATTAAGTATTTCATTATAGTAGGTACCGTCAGTATTGTTATTTAATTATATTTTATTTTTTTTATACTTAGTTTTGCGTGTATGCCAATTCTTAAAATGTTAGATTTCCACTGGTTACTTAACTACGACGAATTTTATCAGTTTCATTAAATACAATAATCTATTTCTAAACACACGTCTACCGCTAGAAATTCCGTCAATGGATACTGGATAATAATCTCTACACAATATACATAAGAAGCATTAAGAGGTATTTATTTTTTAATATTTTTAATGTCATAACATTACCTAATAGGTATGCTTCTATTAATTACCTATATACATATATAAATATTATGTATAAATATTAAATACCTATGTATAATTATTAAATATTATTTATTAAATAAAAGTATTTTAATTTTTCTTTTTTTTAATAAAATACATACAATTAACATTATATTAAATAATATAATTAATATTATATTATATTATATTAATATTATATTATATTATATTAATATTATATTATATTATATTAATATTATTAATATTTATTATATTTAATTTAATATCGATTGCATAAAAGACATACTCGTATTATTTATACAATTTTTCATCGATATCATTTGTAGTTTTTTATTTTCTTAAAAATTTAATATACATTTTTGATTTCAAATTTTGGTGGAATAAGTTTTTAGGTGTATTTCGATAGGAACATCAAAACTAAATTTCGATGAGCCTAGTAGTCAGTATGTACAGCTACACAAAAATACAAAGCAAAATATTGCTTTACACTAATCTGCTTATCTGAACTTTTACTTCAAAAGTATTAAGTTAAATTGAATTAATCAACTGATTTTTATGTATCGAAAAATTTTAAAAAAATAGATGTGCTTCGGAATATGAAAGTAAAAGTACAAACTAGATCCAATTTATTGTCCAAAACTAATAAATAATATAACGTAATAATAAGTTATTTACAAATGTACGTATAGTATTTTAAAAATTACGAGTACCTATATTTAAAAAAATGTACAATTGAAAAAAAGTGAACGTACAGTGTTAACTCTTTTCATAGTGACCGTAAATTTAAATTGAGGGGAGGGGAATTATTTTAATATTATAAATATAATATAATATTTATCATTACAAATGCGGCACTGATAATATATATCCACGTATTTTATTATTATCTATCATTCGACACACACACACACACACACACATACTCACAGAGTAGACACACTATAACGCAACTGCAACTTACCGCAATATACGTCTGCGTGTACACAAGCTCCGCCCCGGCGCCACGGACTCGTCGGTTGGCCGACGCGAGAAGCTACATGCTCCCTGCGGCCGTCCACCGATGGGCGCCCCTCCCTCCGAAAGGGTCGTACACAAAAATTTCCCGTTAACAAATTACCCGATTCATTGTTTTATTATTATTATCGTAATCATCACCATCGACCGCGGAGCATTTACCTGTCCTGTGCGCGGAGTTACCGGTGCGCACGGCATTTCCGCACCGACCGCCGTCTAGCGTTACGCACACCGATCGACCGATGTCGTCGTCGTCGTCATCGTCGTCTTCGTCTTCGTCAATCGCGGTCACTCAGCCCAGCCCGCTGTCGGACGGACTGTCTTCGTTGGTGTTGTCCAAGAGGTATCTGTCGTGCGCCAGACCGCCGCATTTGTACAAGCTGGAACGCGAGAACAATCTGCTGGACGGCGGCGGTGGCGGTGGCGCAGAAATCTGCGAAGACTCCGTAATCGCCGCCGACTGTTGGCAATCCACCGCATGGGTACCACCGCCGACCGCGTCCACCGCGGTGCACGCCCGCTACGAGCCCTCGGACGTGTTCACGCCGCTGGTGTTCGAAGAGATGCAACCGCCAACGCCGCCGCCGCAAGCTCAGCCCCAGATGTCCATGTGGTCGCGGCCTATGGAACGTTACAATCAGCCGCCACCGTCGCATCACCACGTGCAATCTGCTTCCGGTGCGGGTAATGCGGTGCAGCAAAGGCGCCCGTTGCAGCACCTGCCGCCGCCAGCACAATCGTCGCTGCAGCCGCCCGCCTGCAAGACCGCGTCGGCCGCCGAACCGCAACACCAGAACGGCAACAAGCCCGGCGACTTGAGTTGGCTGGTCAACTTTCAGGTGGCGTCCATATTCGAACCCACCTGCAACGGTGGTACGACCGCCGGTGGAGGCGGTGCTGGTGCGGGAGTTAACGTCACGGACAGCGAATGGCCCGAGCCAGAGACACTGAAACAGAAAAAGAAAGCTACCAAATTAGATCAGAAACGTGAGTATATTTTCTACTGGACATTTGACTGGAAATGTCAAGTAAAATTATCTTATTAGGGAAAAAAACTTAAAATTTTAAGGGTGAACATTTTACGTCTACCTAATTGTCCCAAAATTGCACTAGCCGTTACTCTCTAGTCTCCTTTATATCATTATATTTCATAAATTTTAAGAGATGTTATCATGGACATCTATAAATAAAATTTTATAGGGGAGAGGCAAAACAGAAAAAAATTCAAATGTAAGATAAAAAAGATTTAATGTTATTTTCACATATCAATGTAAATATGTTGTTATGCTAACTATAAGTGTATTAATAAAATAATAACTGATATCTGTATCGTTATATATATGTATATTGTATATATAGTTAGTTAAAATAAATTTTAGTAAGTACCTATAGAAAAAAAAATCGAAAATCTAATAATACAATCAAATATGTATTATTCGGTATCAGTAGTCTAATGAAAACTGCAAATTTCTTCATTTCATTCCAAACATATTAATGACATCCTTAATGAAAATATCCTTATTTATGATCACTCTTTCACGATAAAAGCTGATATCATATAGTATCACACACAATCCATTTAAACGATCTTCACCTGTAGTCAACCAAAGCCACATTTTTACTACTCATAATGTACTAAACGATCTTTTTATTGTGCACATTGTCGAAGGCAGTGATAAAAAAATATTGAGTGGGTATTTGAAAAAACGAGAGATAATGAGCTAGATAAATCAATAAACAAAATTTCATCACGTTGGGATTCAATTAAATTGTTTTTAATCCAATACTGATACTAAAGATTAGATTCTTCTATCATTTTTCAGAGGGGACCCTGTCTTGCATCCCCAATGGGCACCCATGGATGGTATGACGTATGTGTACATTTCACACAGCCTTCAAAGTTTTCATTAAAGTCATTTTGTCGGAGGTTAATCACATTTTTAAATTAAGGTTTATGCAATTATGCATAAACATTGATACGAGATTTAGTTAATCGTTGATATTAGGTTATTGAAATAAATAATACTATAGGTATATTATATACCTATTATAATACCTGTACGTCAGTTTATATTACATACACCTTTCCGATATTAATTGTGAGTTGAATGAACAACAATGATACTGTATTTCGTGTTCGTTTGTTTTGATAGCACATTGATATTTATACCATTGAAATAATTGTCCATAATTAGACAATAAATATGACGAAACTTATTTTATATATTATCTACAGCTATGGTATACGGTATTACCTTATATACATCGGTATCTTCATTTGAAATTTACTATTAGAAATCGTTCATCGCTATCAAACTCTTATAGGTAGAAATCTTATTATTAATAAGTTTGTTAAATAATAAATGTATTTTGCTAGATATAGGTATATGAAATATTTTAATTAATTACTATTTTAAATTATATATTAATTTAAACCCCTAAGTTTTAAATTAACATTAAAAATATTTAATACATTTTACACATTTAAATACTAATAAATAACAGTGTTTATTAATTATCTTAAATAACACATTTTTGTCAATATAAAAAATAGAAAATCAGTTTATTAATCTGTTTAATAAATGCAGTGTAACTACATTTTTATTGTGTAAGATAATTAATAATTTTACTATACGATAAATATAATATTACAATTTAAAATACTTATATATTTATAATACAATCAAAAATCAATGGACATTTTCTTAAAAATAAATTATGTATAAAATAGATTCACTCAAATAACGTTGCCAGAAAGTGCATCACAAGGTATTAATATTAATATTGTTAATTTTACTTCCCCAAAAAACAATATATCTTAAAGTAATTCATTAAAATAATATTATTAAAAAATATTTATTGAATAAATATTAAGTCCATATTTAATTACATTGTTTTAGCCTCGTCCAAAATAAGTCGAAAACCATATAGAATGCCACCTTCAAGGTTAGATAAAGCTAATAAACCTGGATACACCTATACAGAAATGATTCATCAAGCCTTGATAGAAAAAAAAGAACTACCAGTAGCAGAAATCTATCAATGGATATCGTGAGTAAACATTGTCGTAATCTTCTACAATTGATAAGATAAAACTTAAATTAAATAACACAAGACTGTCAAGACTTAATCATATGATAATTTATCATTTATTGATGTTCATTTTATATGTCAAATTAACTTAAATGAGGTGTAAATTTTAAGGACGCTTTTCTAAAAACGGTTACCTAATGTTGTGAAACATGTAAGATGTAAGCACATCAGTATTTTGAAAATGGCCGATTGTATAGTGTTAATTTAACATAAATAGGCGGTATACTTGGACACTTTTAAATCCTGATCTAAATAGTCGAAAGCGGAAAGAGTGCATCTTACATAAAAGAAATCAATTATCAGTCACTTTATTATATATTTATATATAATAAATTATCTATAACCCATTAACCCTTGTGAATTGTGATTAATAATTTACCAAATTATTCATATTTATTTTTCTAAATAAACTTTATCACACCTTCAATTTTTTTTAAATATTTGAATCGTTAAGTGGGCAATAAATTGGTTTCAATGCAATAATTAATTATTATTTATTATTAATTGCTTTTAAATTATTTTTAAAAAACAGCAATTAAACTACTTTATACAAATGTACGAAAAACCATTAGTTAATTTAGTTTCTACATTTTTTTCAAAAGAATAATGTTCTACTAGAGAAAAAATTATTAATAAAATATTAACTTAGGTATTAACTTCTTAATTACCGAGGTATATTATTAAATCATTATGTAATTAGAATTTTGCAGTGATTAAAAGGTAAACCCTTTTCATTATGTTAACATGTCTTCACCACAATATTTATGTTTAATATTGTCCACGTATTTATTATGTAAATATTTTACTTTCATTGCATAGTCATCAATTGACAACCACAACAGCTAAAACTCCCACACCCGTATATTTACAATAACGTCCCTCAAGCGTGCTAATACCAATTTTACGGTTCAGTGGCAAGGAATCGCTGTTTATGTATTGCGTGACATTATGAGAACAAATATGTAGGTACGTAATATGTATACCCTAGACAAGTGCATTTAGGGCTGTGTGCTTATAGTATAATACTTAAAATAAAAATAAGGTTTAAACTACAAAGTGTAGCATCCAAAAATATGATAATATATTTTAGTTTATAAAATAAAAAACAATACTATTTAAAGTGTTAAATGCAATAGGCTTAGATAAAAATAATAAAAAAATTAATTTTGGTAATTTTTAATGAGTATAATTATCCCCTAATAAACAAATTTCTGAAGGTTTTATAGGTTATTACTTTAACCTTTTAAATGAAATAACATAATTTATAATTTGTAAGAAACCCACTTATTAAATATTTATAACATTAAATTGATAAGTGGAAATGTGACAATGCATCTTGTAACTGAATGTCTATTCGTATTTCAAACTGATTGAGTTGTTATCAGTTTAAAATCTAAACAAATATTTTGATGATAATTAATTTAGATGATATTATATCTAATTTATTTTGGTATGAAAAATAAAATTTACTTTTTTGTTGTTTCTTCAAATCAACCGCAACTGACTAATGGCTAATTATGTGTGTAGGGTTAAGCTAAAATACGTCTAAAGACAATGATTTCATTTGCACTCTAGTATCCTAATTTTTCGTAAAGATAAATCAAAATAACATTAAAATAATACTATAACATGTACATTTATAAGATACCATATTGTCACATTGATGTTACTCAACTTATTATCAAATAGTTTATCAAAAAAAAAAAAAATTAATGCTTTAATTAAAATAAAAGACAAAAAAATTGTCACATTTGAACAAGATGTTATTTTAAAGTTTAAACCAATAATGACCAATAGTTAACTCGACACTACTAATGACTATATTTTTAAATTTCATACCTACTTATCAGTTATTATATAATAAAATGTATTAAATACATTTTATTACATTTTAATACGATAATCTGAGTAAAATTCAAGTATAATATCTGAATATTTAAATCGATTATTATAAATTATAATTTCCCATGACCCACACCCTCAAGTTATATTAGTAAAAAATACTTCTCCTTTAGTTTCACTTCACCTGTCTATAAATTTCCCTTGCCACGTGTTAGTGTTTCCTGTGTAAAACTGTTTTGGAAAAGGGGATTATAAGGGTTAATAATGGTTTCTGTCTATTTGCTTCCGTAATCAACCGGCCGTAAAACTTTTTACCTATTCCCACCCTGATGTATATAGATGATATTATATACAATAATGACGATTATAATTTTATTTAAACTATATCGTTTAAAGTCTTCATATCTAATACGTGCTGTATTGTGTAAAAATGATCACATAAATGATTGTGTATATACGATGAATTTTTACTGTAAAATTTGATTGCACTTATTTTTAAAAAATATTTTTCCATTCATTTTCAATATGAATGTATTTTGTTATATTTAAAAATAAAAATTCACAAAAAAATATCTTGAAGTAAACTTTGACAAAAAATAGCACAACACACCACATAACTATACACTAATAAAATAAAATTACCTTCTATATTGAGACAATTTTTACGCTAAAACTCTAAATTAACACTTTACAAAATTTAATCTCTACAAACTATTTTTTAAGCTATATAGCTTATCTAAACTTACAGTATACAATTTTTGGGGTCAAACTTAAATAAAATATAAAAATAACTAGTAACAAAATCTTTCGACGATCAGCACCATTTTATGTCACAAACCAAATCTTATTTACCTTACATGTAGACTCACAAATGAAAAAAATTGTAGTTATATAGTAGCTTAAAGTAATAAAATCTCACATCTGTTTCTGTATGTATATATTTTAACATACATATACATTTTTACAAAATTTTTATTTCGGCCAATTCTTAACAATACCCATAAGATATCGAAAAAAAACTTGTGTCATTAATTGTAACCAAACTAGTTAAGTAGTTACTTAACATAATATGTCATTCATTTTATCAAAAGTTCTATATTAGGAAACGTATTTAATAGGTGGTTGTGTCCATAATCGCATTATTATTGTTTGATTTTTTAGGAGAATATTAGACATATTATGTTGGTGCCTAGTTTAAATTTTTGAGATTTTAAGAGTTTAGATACAAAGATACTTAATTTATTTAGATACAATTTTATGAATAATTTGAACATAAATATGTAGATACGTTGGAGTGTAGTGAAAGTATATCTAATTTAACTATAAAGTATTTTATTTATTAATGATTTACAACTTTTATAAAAGACACATAGTTTGCGTATTAGAAACATACATTTAAATATAAATACCTATATATTATAATATACTGGGGATTCTGTCACCTGCTCATCAATTCCTTGTTGCTTCAACCCAGAAATCTAAAATTCGCTTCTCTTTGAAGCTTAAAATTTGAAAGAAAAATGTTATATTTAGTGTTTGATAAAATGAAAGTTATTATAGCAATGTATACTTTCTCACAAAATATATTGCATTTTCATTCATTTTTAGAAAATTCAATACCCTAAATAATATGTTATATATAAATTGAATTAATATGAAAATCGAAATGAGAAGAAAGTTTTTCTAGTTTTGTATACCTATATATTTTGACATTTTTGACTAACCATTAAACTGCTCGTTAAAAGTATAGACACAAGTCACACAAAAAATATTTTTTTATCTGTTTTATATTCAAGCAAAATCCGTTATAGATTACATCTATTGTATTTTTAAAGATAATCAATCATTGCCTTATATCATTGGCAGATGTATGATAGTTTTATGCATTAGAATTCTGAATAGTGTCTTTTAAAGTCTTACATTTTCACATGTATAATATTGACTTTAAAATACCTAAAACTTAATTTTAAAATATTTAGAGAGTTTAAATTTGAATATATTATTTATTCAATAAACAGAACATTTTTATTTAATAATGTTCCTTAATTTATTTTAATTATTTTTTAAGTAAAATTATACTTATAATTTTGTCTTCTTTTTTTATTTTTATACAAACATTTTTATATTTTAAAGTTCTTAACCCTGGTGCCTTGTGCATACAATATTAAGCATAATATTTACTTAACAACACATATCAAACAACTATATGTTTTTTAAGTATATCTGACCACAAATGTAGATTTTTTTTATTCTTCAATACGACCAGTTTTGAAATAAAAAAAAAAAATGATTTTGTTTATGAGTATAGCGTGTGTATGTTACCTATGAGTGAAAATAACTCACCCCTACACACGTTTATTGTGTTCGTACCATCTTAGTACCAGGCACCCATTTGTGTTTCTTATAGAAATTAAAGAAATAAGGTTAACTTTTCCGAAGTCACGGCCCCCCTTATAAACTTGCCTGTTTAATATTATCCTACAACAATAGAGACCAGTAGACCATACCAATAATGTTTATAATTCTAATATAATTTCGACAATTCAACGTAAATCGTACAATTTATCAGATTACAAATGTTAACATTTATTTGTTCAAATATTAAAATTAAAATTACTATAAATATATACTTAATATATATATATATATGATACCTATACTGTCTTTACTTACCTATAAAATATAGTAAGCAAGTAACAATAGGTCATATTTTTGTAAAATATATAAATAACATTTTTGATTGATTGAGTAGATCCTAGATTATCTAATAGGTGTACTTAGCTTGCAACTATATTAACTTGTATTTTAGATTCTGCGTGAGGATTATAGGTAGATATTGGTTTTACAAATGATATGTTAATTTTTAATACTTACGATGTTATAGAGTAGAAAAAACTTCAATAATTGTCCACATCGAGAATATTTATTTTTCTGGTTATTAATGTGATTTGGTTGGTATTAAAAGGATTAAAAAAAATAAAATTCCCAATAGCGAAAATTTTCTATTTTTTTCTTCTGTAAACGGCTGTTATAGTTGTTAATTCAATTCATCTAAAACGATTTAGTTAATTCACATTTGAAATGTGTATTAGAAATAACTCAGGTCTCGGGGAATATAAAATGCATGTAAACATTGGAACGGAATTCTCAATTTGCCGGTTTTTTATTTTACGTATAATGCTGTGTGATATCTACCTAAGAAGTATTAGTGAATCTAAGAGATTCTTCCTTGCCGTTTTGTCATAGGGCGTTTGGTCCCCGTGGACCGGATTATATACGTATTAAATTGGTTAAAGCCTATTTAAATGACGTTTGATCCAACAGTTTTTATATAATATTTTTTTTTAAGTAATTTCTTCAGTAATATTTAAATAGCAAGAAAATAATATATTTCGAAATAATTCAATATCAGTTAATTACTTCTCGGTTTAACTTGGTAATTATTATTTAAAAATTAACAATAGAGAACGCGCTATAGCTGATTCTATTCAGAGGGGCCAAATATCTTAGCTTTATACTTGTCACAAACTCAATTGTTTGGCATGAAAGTCAAACGAACTATCTGTTTACCATGATAGGCATGATAAGTAAGTATAATCGAAACTTACTAAAGTATTACACAATTACTACATCAGATAAAGTTATTTGGTTATTTTATTTCAAAAATTATTCATAAATAGATAGGTACCTAACTAACTATTTAAGTGAAATACTAAAATGTATAATGATAATTTAAAAACTACTTTTTAATTTTTCTAATTATTAGTATACGCTGTGGCGTGATTACCGAGTATTCACGAGGTTTCAAAGGACATTGTTGTTTGTAGGCAATTATTTGTGATCGTAAAAATACATATGAAATATAAGGTTAATATCTTTCGGTAAGAAATCTACCAGCGGTTTTCCAATTATACAATTCTAGTATGCGCCACACTGTGTGATTTATCTTTAATGGCCATGCTGCGGATTAGGTATTAGCTATTTAAATAAAAAGAAATGGTTTTTAATTAGGTACCTACTTTAGCTAAACCTTATAAATATAAACGTTTACACTTAATATTGCTCACAACAGAAATACTGAGTGAAAATGACTTGCTTTATTAGTTATTACTTTATGGATTGGGTTGTTACACACAGTTTTATTATATTTCAGAAAATTCTCTCTTTACTACTGTCTTAGCTTAAACACCTACAGAGATGTAGGATAAAAAGTGTATTATTATATTAGCGTCGAATGAAAATCGCTGGAAAGACTGCTTAGACGCACACTAGCTGTAGCCTGCAGAGACTATGGATTTAGGGTTAATATAAATTGGAGAGAAATCCACGTATCGTTCCCTAGTAAAAATCATTGCTTGTCAGGAGCAACTTCATAAAAAATTACCTACATTATTATATTGAGAAATATTAGAAATCATCTGAATATTAATGTGATAGTCATACATTTATTATTTATTTATTTATTAGTTATACATTCATGCCTGTAAAAAATTATTTTCAATTTGTGTTTTTATAACACTAAAATTCCTACCACTTTTACACAAATATATACTGATGTAAACATTTTGAGAAACTGTTTTTTGTAGTTTTCAATGAATTAAAATATAAATGTATTTTTAAAAGAAATGTCTTAGAAAACAGTTAGGTAATACGTAGATTAAAATATACATTATTAAACCATCTTCAAAGTTTAATTAAGAACAATCAAAACAAAATAATTATTATTATGGATTTAAAATGTATTTATTTTGCAGAAGTCATTTTCCGTATTTTCGTGAAGACGACGAACGTTGGAAGAATTCTGTACGTCACAATTTGTCCATTAATCCTAATTTCAGAAAAGGTAGAAAATCTCAAGGGGCTGGTCATTATTGGCGGCTGTGCAATATCGAAGAAAGTTTAGGTCAACGAGAGTATTCTATAGCCACCGAAGACGACACATCATCGCCACAAGAGTCGTCAGAATTAGAACAAGCTTGCAAGTATTTAGAAGGCGAGCTACAACGAGATAGTTTGGAAGACGTAAAAATGATTCAGAGTATCAACACAGAATTAGAGAATGGTATGTTTTTTGGCGTTTAGTCAACAAACAAATTGTATTATAAAATATTTATTTTAACGTTAGATTAAGTTAAAATCAAAATTTGTATAAGTACCATTTTGTACAGTACAATATTTTGTTAAAATTTAATTTAATTTGTTTTAAAACCACTCTACATTACTTAAAATGTATAGTAGGTATTAAAACTCAAAATATTTTAAACAAAATTGATAATATATAATCCATGTTGTCAATATTTACTAATACTATTCAACTAATCTTGATAAGTTCATTCAGTCATGACTTATTTAAAATTATAACTGAAGAAAATGATTTGTTTATTAACTTAGAAAATAGCAATAAATATAATATATACTCATATATTCTACTAAGGTAAAATGTTTTAGTTATAAAACATTGATTAGGAATTATGTTTATACAAAACTACTAATTTCTAAGAATATTATAGTAATTTCATCAACTTTCAAATGTTTAAGCTTTCAAATACATGGTTTGTGGTTTTAACTATAAAATTGATGTTGACACCAAAGTAAAAATAATTATGTTATTGTTTTCTAATGTGCTTGTTATTTAATTGTAATTTTATTTTATTTTATTATGTTGTAGTAAAGAATAAAAGTCAATTTTATACATTTTTTGTTTTTGTTTCAGAAATATATACCAATTCGTTTTTGATTTCCAGTCCGTCAAAGTACATAAACGAACAAATCAGTTTATCAAATAATGATTTTCATTCATACAGTGATAACCTGTTGGAGGAGCCCATTGACTTTCAATATTACAATTTATAAATCTTCCAGCTCAAATTATTTTGGTTTCAAAAATTCCAAATTTTTTTACATATATATTTAAGACTGACCAACAGGTGACCTTTTTATAAAATTAAATTTACTACACGGTTGATTAATTTCATCAATCCAGACACTCGAATTTGTTCAGTTTGAAGTTTATGAAGCTTTTTTTATGTTACCATTATGTAAAAACATTTTTGATCATCCTGATTCTAGTCAATTATTTATTATTTAAAAAAAACTTTTGCTTACTCTTTTTTTTTTTTTTAGCAAAATACACTTATTATTGAATAGATTTAAATATAATTATTGAAAAGCATTTTTTTTTTTTATTTAGATATTAAGATGTTTAAATTAATATCTCGTGAATAGTATTTCATATTTTTATATATTATAAAAAAAAAAAAATGTATATAAAAAACATGTGAATTAAAACAACCTGATGTGTTTGGAGTTAGTTTGTTATGAATATTATTATATAAATTTAAGATAGTTAGAAATTAACAGTGACCACGATCTTCAACTCGTTGTCTTGGAGCAGCTTTAATGATACAATCAACACGCAAAATCATTTCAGCAGCCTCAGCTGCAGATACTAGTACTTGTCTCTTAACAACAAAGGACTCAGTTATTCCAATATCTCGCATACATCCTAAAGTGCCTTTTTCCATATCTAAAACAAAATGTTTAATATAATATAATACTAGAAAATTAAATATTTAAATATGATAACTTACCAAGACCCATTGTACTCTTGCCAAGGGCATGATTGGCTCTTAATTCATTGACAAGTTGTGCAGAATCTAAACCAGCATTATCGGCAATAGTGGTGGGTAAAGACTGTAGGGCACGTGCAAAAGCCTCCATGGCTACTGCTTCTTTTCCGGGTGTTTTAGCTGCTACAGCACTAACTGCATTTGCCATTAGCATTTCACTGCAACCACCACCATAAACAATGGTTGGTTCTCTCACGGTGGATGATAATACACACAAAGCATCATGCAAAGAACGGTCGGCTTCATCAATAATTTGCTCAGTCGCACCACGGATTACAATGGTGCATGCTTCACCAAGAGCTACGCCAGAGAAACGTAACAATGTGCTTTCCCCAATCATGGTTTCTTCGATAAGTTTACATGTACCCAACTTAGCTATGGCAGGAGAATCGAATGTCGATAGAATCTCACCACCAGTTACCAGGGCTAATCGTTCAATACCATCAAAATCAGCATGTTCAATAGCCATAATACCAGCATCAGCAAAAAGTTGTTCAGGATAATTGTAGATCAATTGTCTGAAATAATAAAACAATAATTTTAACTAATTTATAAATTAATCAAAATTTGATTATTTAAAACACAATTATTGACTTTAGTTTAACTTAAATTTTGGTTAACAAACAAGGTAATTATTTAACAGTATCTATTTTCAAAATTTCATAATCCATTGAATAATGCTATATTTTAGTAATTAAAGCATTCACAAAAATATCAAAACAATTTTATTTCTTTTATTTGACTTACACATAAAAATTAAAAATTAATTAATTTGTATCTAACAATTAATAAACTTTAAAAGGGTAAAAAAAAATAATATTTTATAATTTCTAATACAATATTAAACACATAGCAATCAATAACATTTTTATTTAAACAGAAAAATAAATTACCCTGTGTGCGCAACTATGAGGTCAGATACCACACACTAAAGGTAAACTAGAAAACAATAAAATATTTTAAATAGTAACAAGGTACATATTAAATTATATTTTAAAATTGAATTAATATAAACTTTTAATTATAAATATATAAATAATAAATAGTTCTTATAGCAGCGGTTTTCTAACTATTTTATTTGTGTATCCATGTTCCCAATAAAAATTTATGAAGCCTCAAAAATCAAAAATATCAGTTTTGATAATAACTCACAAAAACTTAAGTTAATTGAAAATTGTTTTTATAAAATAGTACACACATGTAAAAAATAATTTCATCAACAATAGTTAATAAGTAATGACTGAAGAAATTATTAAAACTTCGTTGATTTTAGATAAATAAATTTAATTATTGTACACATAAAACGAACAAAAAAAACCAAACTTGTATCTCTAATCTTTTTTTATGACTATGACACAGAATATGCAGGTTAATGAATAGTTTAAATGTTAATGGGTTTTCATATAATATTGAATGTAAATATAATATATGAATTTTATTAATATAGAAGATGTGCTCATGAAGCCCTTTAACTATTCTTGTAGAGTATTAAAAGTCCTAAGAGCAGTTTAAGAACCATAAATCTTATAAGCCTCATAAATCTTTTTTCCACAATTAATTTAATTTGAAAAAAAAATCATAACTAGATTTTTATAATATTATCAAACAATTTTATATTACCTGTTAATAAAAACATTACATTCGTGAGAAAGAATTTTTCCTATTTTATCTTTCATTTTTTCTTTTTCAGCTAATTCAAGTTCAGCTACTTTGGCCATAGAATCAACTTTAATACGAGATCCAAATACTTTAATTTTATCTGTATCCATAGGAGTGTTGGCAATAAGTATACGGGCATTTTCAATTCGTTTAGGTTGATGTTGGCCCGGTTTTTTGTCAAGAAGAAAACCTATTAAAATTAAAGTTAATAAATATTTTCAAGTTTTATTTAATGTCTATTAAATGTACTTACCTTCATCTAAAAATGAATCTTCCAAACATCCACCTTTTAGCTTAATAATCTGTATAGCTGATAAATTACCAGAACCTTTTAGACGCAAAATTGCATCAACAGACAATTTAGCAAAATGTTCTTTGTGTTGAGATAAAATTTTAGAACTTAAAGTTGTGCGAGCAATATTCAATAAATCTTCTCGGAATTTAGCATCATTTTTGCTATTGTCCATTGTAGAAGCCTGTAAAGCTTCATGTGCAATGGTTGTTGCTTTTCTCCATCCAGATATAATGACTTGAGGGTGAATTTTTTGATCAACTAGTTTTTCTGCTTCTCTTAACAGTTCAGCAGCTAAAAATGAATAAAACATCATTCTTCCAATTCATTTATAATAAGTAGTGTTTGATAAAAAAAAAATAATGTGAGAGGTACAAAAATGTACTATATTTATTATATTATCTTAAAGATTTATCAAATTAAATGTCTTTTAATTCAAGCAACAAAACTTTTTTTGAATTAGCTAATAATTGATGTTTTAATAACATTATAAATGTATTACAAAATTTAATTGAAATTTAATTATTATTGATGAATTATAATTTTTAAATACAATTAATATAAAAACTCAAAATAACCAATAAATATAATTATGCTTAAATAAATAGTTAACTTGATTAAAAAAAAAAAAAAAAATGATAGTATAAAAATAAATAACCTAGAATAGTTATTTAAAATAATAATAATTATTTGTAATTTTAATACATCAGACTTGGAATTTATTAATTATCAGTTAAAACACAAAATCAAATAAAAATATATTAATTATTAATTTCAGCCAATGTGATAAAAAAAATAATAGATTTGACAAGAAAGTAAGAATCTAAATATTATAAAACTCAAGTTGAAACACCATATGTCATTCATAAATTAAAGCCATAACCAATTTTTTATTTTTAAGTATTTAAATACCTAATACTAAGTTTCATCAACACAAAATATTTATCTAATTATAGGTACATTATAATGGTAAATAATTTAAATCATATTACCTAAAACAGTAACAGATGTGGTACCGTCTCCAACCTCACCATCTTGAACTTTAGACATATCAACCAATATTTTGGCAGCTGGATTATCAACTCCAATATTTTTCAAAATCGTTGCACCATCATTGGTGACTTCAACTTTAGCATCCATTCCTCCGCGACCAGCCGATATGAGTATCTTGTCCATTCCTTTTGGACCCAATGTGCTTTTGACCAAATCACCAATAGCGATGGCTCCAATAAAACTGGACAAACGAGCATTTTCACCTTTGTCTTCTTCGGCTTGATTTTTCAAAATACGAACTGGATTTAAAGAAACCTTTAATGGAAAAAAATAACCAAATAATATTACTAATTACCCTTAATAAAACGCCTACACAAGATAATTTAGATTTGGTAGGTTAAGTGAACACACGAAATAATTAATATTGTAACTTACCATTTTGGCGATCTATAGAATAATATGAATACTATACAACGAATAGAAACTATGCCGGAAAGACGGCTATTTTGATTTTAGAAAAATATTAAAAACTCAGTACTTTTTTGTTTGTTCACAAATATACAAAATCACAACGAGGTATTATAAATTGTAATAATGTATGGTCGACCGGTGGTGGGTGGTTACTGCCGTTTGGTTGGTTTAGCTTTAGTTTATCACAAAGTCCTTATCAAAGATTGTAGTTAATCATAGATACCAACCTAACATAGCAATGTAAAACACCGGGAAATTTGAAAAAAAAAACGCGCCATTTCTTAAATTAATACAGATTTGACAACTGAAGACTAGTTTGACCGATTCGATTTTAAGATCTAAATTAGAATTCTCTTCATTAAATGTTTATTAATAAGTACCATACAATCGATAAATATTTTTATCAGTTCTATATTATATGTTTTTATGGCGATCATCTTATGAAAACCGGCGACTAACCATCTGAACCATAGAGTTATTACTCCATGATCTGAGCATATATTGATCATTGGGATATACTATAAGCTTTTCTACTATCGCATCATTATAAAAATACTTTAAAGCGTAAAATAAAACTATTACGATTACCATGAAATTTTAATTGCTAGAAAAACACGTTCGTGGATAACTGATTTTGATATTGAGTTTTTTTTACGTATCAAACCAATAAACCTCACGTTTAAAAAAATTCCGACAAAAAACGAGATCCCTTATAGAGACGTATAAATTTATGTTCGTATATGTTTCTTCCAAAAAATTCGACTAAACAGTAAATCTTTACGTATATTTAGGATAACATGTACAAATGAGAAAATCAGTCACATATAGTAGTAAACTGCAAGATGATAGTTTTTGAAATAATGAGTAGTTCATAATAAAAAAACCGCCTTATATAATATAAATACATACATCTCAAACATAAATATACATTTTAAAATACTTATTTTTATTTTCATGCACCATATTATATTATATCGCGTTACATGCATACTTACACAGATACACAGTTTAAAGTCAAGTAATAACAGTATGTAAAATAACTTATAACAATTGTATTTACCTTAACATATTAACACTGACCTTTATATAGATGTAATGAAAATAATTAATAAATATAAGCTTATATGTCTACACGAAGTAACAATAATACTATATTTGTATTTTTTTATGTAATATATATATATATATTAAAGGTAGTAGGCAGTATGTACAATAGTTTACATTACGATTTACAAGTATCGTAAAAAATAAAAAAATAATAACAATTATCTTACACAAAATAGAATTATTGAATCATTTTTCAACAAAAATTACTTGGTGTTGTTTTTAAATAAACACTAAACAATGTAACAATGTGAATAGTTATGTACAACTCTCAATTATAATATAATGTTATGCGCTAGAAAAGGATAGATGATAAATTTTTTTCTCGTCCATACTATCGACGATCTCCTGCCGAGCACAGATGCCGCCCCTGCAGTGATTTTATACTTATAAGTTATAACCATTACAAAATGTACACTATCGACCTGACGTTATTCTTTAAACGTCGTCGGATATAAGAATCCACAATATCATATATTGTACAAGTGGAATATTCCGCCCCCATTGCCGGGATGTTTAGAGGTTGACTTCCCGGAGTTTCACGTGGTTGTCCAGCACCTCGGTGAACCATTTCCGCTTGGCCGGTTCCGTGGCGAACGTGGATACGACCTTGAGGTGCAGCCCGACCACCGATTGGTCGTCCATGAGCGCGATGATCTCGTTGCACAGCTCCGGCCTGTTCTTAAGCGCGTACAGGCTGACGTACGTGTGGCCGTGCTTGGACTCGACCTGCAGATTGGTGTCCACCCATTTCTCCACCGCGTTCGATCCGACGCTCAGCACCTGTCCCTGATATTCGGTGTACACCGGAGACAGCAGCAACGCCGTGTCCGATTCCGAACAATTGTTGAGAATGCACTTGTAGAACTTGTTGTAGAACACCGGCAGATACACCAACACCTGCGCAGGACAGACAAACACCGCACATATTCGCGCGCGGTCATTACGTTAATATTGGTATGTACATAATATTTTGGCGTAGCCAGAATTTATGAATGGAGAGGGTTTAAGGTTTAGATATATATCAGGAATGGACAGCTCAAAATTACTAAAAGGTCACTTTTTAGGGGTCGCTGTAAATTGCGTCCCGTTTTAAATTTTTTATGTAAATTGCGGCCCGGGTATATTTTATACATACGTAAATTGCGGCCCGGGTATATTTTATACATACGTAAATTGCGGCTCCGGTATATTATATACATACGTAAATTGCGGCCCCGGTATATTTTAATATATTTGCCTACTTTGTACAACACCAACGTTGAATATCATTCTTCAGAAGTTTTTGAAAACGAAATTTGAAACCATCAACTATTTTCAACGTTTTATTTTTTTTACTTTTCATAACTTCAATTGTTATTAAATTTAAAAAAAAATACAAATACTAATTTACCAAATACTGTAAATACTGTAGACCAATGTAAAAACTCGTGCGAAATATTTCGATCAAATGCACACAGCACACTGGCGGCTAGTAATATTATATAAGTGAGCATCAAGTGATCTTATCGATCAATATTAAAGATAATATAACCAGCCGACCGGAAATCGGAATATCCCGGGCCGCAATTTACGTACATTTCAAATATACCTGGGCCGCAATTTACGTATGTATAAAATATACTCGGGCCGCAATTTACACAGTATATAACTATGACCTTTTTTGCGGGACGCAATTTACCAACTCCGCTTTTTAGAAAATTAAAATCTAACAGGCCAGAACGCAGAAAGCAAATAAAAAGTCATTCAAAATATGCGTTTTAATTAGAATTACTTTGTTTTTAATGTAAAAGTACTTGTATTTTAACTTTATTACATTAACCGTAGTCTTCTTGTTTTGATCGCTGATTTACTAAATAATCAAATTAAAATCAATAGTGGGGGGGGGGGGTCAACACCAACCTTGGCTACACCCTAGGCTTGTCGCATAATACGATCAATATCAAAATCGGTCAGTAGAGCGCAGAATATACTTGAAATTTAAAAAAAAAAAGTATTAAATAGTAACATGAAACGGTTTCGTTAACGTTTAAATTATTTTTCTGCGCTGTCACCGTTAAATTCTACATGATGATTGTAGCGAATGGCCTGATGAGGTACGGAGGATCAGTCTACATCTTCCCTAAAGAATGTGCAAGGGAAACGCCGGTGACGGTTTATTCCGTCTTTACGAGGTCCTCGTCAATTGCAGACTAGTGCGATTCGGTCAAAAATTTCGTCTTTTGGGAAGATGTACACATTTACTGGAAGGCATTACGCGACCTAAGAAGAGTACCTAATGACAAGCAAAAGGCAGGGATGCTTGCCCAAAAGCTGTTCGTAAATATGCAAGACCACGCATAAAAACTGTGGTTGAAGGTGAGTCCGAGATATTTTTTTATCATCCATCCAACAATCTCGATTAAACATCAAGTGATTATCATATATTTCTAGACATGAATTCGTGAATCTCACCACAATAATTTACATACAATGAACCTTGTGAACGGAATAAACTTGCAATGACTCAGAACACTAATGGAATCATTCTTCAAAAAGAACATGAAAAAACTATACTATACAATACAAAAAGAACATAGAATTGTAGAACGTAGACTATAAAGAAAAAAATATATTTTATAGTAAATTAATTGTTTAAAAAAAAAATTTATATTTTATACTTTCTCCAGAAATTGATTTTGAGATAGTCCTCGTATTAAATATAATTAATATAGGTACAATATTATATGTATAGCACATCTATAAGTATTTGTTTCCACAACATATACCTATCACTATTATTATTAGGATGAACACAGTACACACTAATGTTATAATGCTATATACTGTTATGTATGTAAGGGAGTTCTAGTAGCTTTTAATTGAATGCTCTTCTCGATAAACTTAAATATTGAAGACATATAATATATTATTTTATAATTATTATTATTATACAAGTGATATCGAGAGCAAAAACCTACGATTTTTTACGTGATGGACAATAATTTTATTTGATATATACTTGGTGCCCAATGTCCATGTACATTGTACGTAGTATAAACTTTTTGTATTAAATTTCTATAATGAGTTTAATAGTCACGGTGTATTCCATAAATTATTATAAAAACAGTGTGATCATTACATGTATAATCGCTCATTAACATAATAACACGCGCCGTCGTGTATATATTTTTGCGTTTAATGTTATTATATGTGTTTAATTGTAATGAATTTAAAATAATTACCTGATAAATAAGTTCATTTGATTATTTGAATTCATGTAATTAGGCGATAAGCTTAATACAGAGCAAAAATATTCACACAGAGAATGGATATTGATATAAATTAATAAGTATGAGCACCTAAGAATAGTAACATTTATCATTAATGAAATTTCAATATAATGAATATTATTTTAAATTCTAGAGTGCGTATATGAACTTTTGACTTGACAATAAAATTTGATTATTTCTAAAATGGTTAACCTGCATCTGTCCAACTTTCATATACCTAGGTTAAAAAGCGTTTTTTTGGCGGTTTTTTGTTTTGTTTTTAGATTACTTGTTGTTTTTGAGGAAATCATGATAAACATCGAAATCGGGAATTACAACAAATCTAGAAATTTAACTATTTTTTAACTTTATCTGCTCAGTTGAATTATGATTTACCAAGTTATTTCACTCTAAAGTATCTTTGAAATTTAAAGACGCTCGTTGAACAATATTGATTAGGTACTCAATAATTATTTTAAAAATGTTCAATTAAAATATTAGTTTTGATGTACAAGTGTTAAATATCTGTTACATAAAATAATAATTTAACGATTTGTCAGTAAATACAATATACATTATGGTAAGTGGTTTTTTGAATTTAATTCAAAATGCAATTTATAGTTCAATATTTTATATATAATATATATTAATACCACCATTATGCATTGCCGTAAAAAAATATGTAAGTATATATTTTTATATTATTTAAGGTAGTTAATTTTAAATAATTATAGGTAATTATAGTTAACTTATTATTAGTTATACCTGAAAAACAGTATCTCCTAATGTGTATTCATCAATATAATGTGATCCATGCTCCGTAATAAAATCCGTCACCATTGATTCTATACCAATGGACATACATTTAAATTTGTCAGATATTGTTGATTTTAGTTCTGCCAATTGTGTGAAATTGTCAAATGTTTTAATTCGTTTCACTGGTCGCCTATAGGACACAATTACAAATTTTTGTCCAAATCCCATTGCTATATCAGGTACACCAAATCGTTCGGATACCATATGTCGTGATCTACTTGTTGTCAACAATTTCCATGGTTTATCGGCTAGATCAACTTGAAATCCGTCAAAATATACATCAAATAGGCAGTCCAAATCAGGACAAAATGTGATGTTTAGTAAATTTGTATGATTTTTTGTCACATTTAAGACTTCACTGAAAAAAATAATATTTATATTAATTAATATAAACATATTTTAATTGGTACTTAATAAATAAAGTAAAAGTAAACATTATGTCGGTATGCTGGTATCAATACACTACACAATATATTATGTATTCATAAAATAGTGATGTATTTACGGGGAGGGGGTTAAAGGGGATAAATCCCCCCATAGGCTGTATACACACAAATAATTTATTATAGTCATCATATTATTTAAAAAATTATTATTATTTATTTTTTTTTTTTTATCAATAATTGATTAAATTTGCAAGAATTAAAATATTATAATATATTGTACAATATTCTTATTTTCTTCAATTTTCTAATTTCTTATCTCTGATTTTAAGTCTGGTTAGTGGTTATTTAACTATAGTCCAGTCGTTCAGAGGTCTTCGAAGTTCAAATCACTGCCGGTGATGAAGTACAAATAACAATTTGAGTGAACTGCTTAATCATGTTATATTGATAATATATATAATAAACATACATTTAAAAACTAGGAGCCTTATATGTATTCAATGTGTTCACTGTTAATGACAACGAAATAACAAAATGTATATGCATATACATATATGTATTAATAGGAAAAATTATCAAAATTGATCTATGGCACACTATGAAAAATATTGACCCGTAACGGTATAACACTACATAATATATATAGCGTATCCATCCTACAAGGTATGCCGCGGTCGACGATTCATTCAACATGTTCTATACATATATATAAATCTAATTGTAGTAGATTTAGAATAATAGATATCTATAGTCTAATATGATTGTCTAAAAATGCAGTAGTATACGTACAACTGCAGCTATAACTTATACAAGTCATATTATTAAGTGTGTAGGAACAGGATTTCTCTGGGATCCTCACCCACTCATTTATACTATATAGGTATATAATAAAGCAATTTAGTCCTATATCTAGAACTTTTGATAATAGGAGGGGGTCTAAGAGTTTGTTTGTGGTTTAACGGCCGCTACACCTAGTAATGGCTTGGGATGGGCTGCATCATTGATCCATACTTAATCGAATAAATATAAATTAAATTATTTCGTATAGTTATTTATCATAATATTGAAGAGTTTAATTTCTATTATAACGACTTGTTTATACTATTTGTAATTAATAAAGTTTTATACTTGGATATTTCATTTACTAGTTTTGTCATTTTTACTGACGATATGCAACATAAATCTTATTAAGCTTTAAACTTATAATTTCGCTCTAACATTAACCTATATTACAGTATTACTTACGAGTATATTTTAAACAACATTATAAATAAGTATAAACACACAAAGACTGATTATCTTTTTATCTATATAAATAATAATGGAGTATATATTTATATTAATATGAAACTGTTAAAATTTGGTCCAGACACTAGTCTGATATATTCGTATTACCTTTAATATGTTAAAAAGGCCTCGCCTCTTTGACATCTATATAATATGTTTATTCACGAAAAATCCGGATAACATGTAATATAGTAATTTGGGATAATTTATCAAACAGTTACCTATACAAAATGTATAAATGTTAATAATAGGCTAAGAATATATATTTAATGCAATAAGATCGAAGTATTCTCATTTATATCAATGAAATAGCCAAAATACATTACCTAGCTGCTTCTAATTCAGAAGTTGATATGATTCCGAGGTACACTCATCATTTATTGTACAGCAGAGTAGTTATTTAAATACTCTCCTATTTATTAATTTATAATTACAATACTTAAATAAGGTTATCTGTATGGACTGCTGCGTAGATAAAATAATCTCTAAAGAATCGAAATTAACTAAATCGCAATTAATTTATACAAAATCAGTGGATAGTAAAAAATGTATTGTTTTATATAATTGCGTTTGATTTAATATTTATAAGTAAACAGTATTAAATAGATAATAATTATAGGCCTATACATTTATCGATCCCTATATAGTATATGCTATTTTTACTACATAAGCCATGAGGTTATACCGCAAATACTGATAATACACAGGTACATGTATGTGATTAGTTATTGGGAGAGCGCAATAAGGTCATTTATAGTTTATGTTATACGTAAAATAAGTAAATATAATGTATACGAATTTATAACGAGTTATAAATAAAATAATTATTTAACATTTTGAGGTTGGAAAACTAACATTGAACACATTTTTAATTTTTAATAAAATGAAGACAATTTTAACATTTTATTAATACTCAAATTTTAATGTACAATAATGAAAATGGAATTTTTTTTCAAATATTCTATAAATTCATATTGGGGTAATATTTATTGCGGTTGGTTAACCACACTAATAGTTTGTGGAATGTTCAATGCATTGACAAGGTTTTATAGTAGAATTATTTAAATTTTTATGACATTTAATATAATAATATCATAAAATTATATTTTTTCAATACTTTGGTAATTACACTTATGTTTATTTCATCATTTTTTTAAATTCATATTTTGTGGTTTTTATTGTTTATTATTAACGAATATTTATATATTTATGAATCCTTTTAAATCCTATCCCTGAATAATTATGGTTCCAAATTTTAATTGTATGTAGAGTTAAATATAAAAAAAATTAACAGTTTACTTAAAAAACCAAATATAATTGCTATAAGTACTTACTTGATAAAATATTCGATATTTTTCATCTTTTTTCTAATTACCTAATGATGTTTATTTTAATCGATAGTAGTTATATAGCATGTTTTATATTATTAGTATATTGGATAATATTTTTCTCTGATCATTTTTTATAGAACTAACTTCAAACAAGAGATTTTAGTTTTTGTCTATTTAGTATTTTATTATTTATGATGACGACTATTTTAAAACACAGTTTATTATTATGATACTAATAATAGTAATATACTGAAGAAAGTTTAACGCGGAAATTTATTTTCTAAAATAAAATATAAATACTTATTCTCATAGAATCAATTTATTTTAGATCAATGTAATATAATAAAAATTTAAAATTTTGAAATTCTGATTTTTGATTTATACTAAAATTTCAATTTTGCAATCAGGTATTTGATATTTTTTCTCTATTTATGGTGATTGATGTATATGTGTATCGTATATAGTCCCTAATTCTAATTTTACCACTTTCACGTAAGTGTACGTACTACGTGGTCTACCTTAACAATTTTACAGACAATTAATAATCTATAATTTGAACGATTTGTACCGAATCGTTGTAGCAATAAAGTTATTATTATCATGAATGAGAAAACGTGCGTTTATCAACACAACTTTTAATTAAGTGTAAATGTAAATGTATAATAAACTGTAAAATATAGACATAATTATAGACCTATAGATTAAACCTAACCTAAAATAGTGCTATAGTAGCCAACTAATAACTAATAAGTAATAATTGTACGAATATACCTACGTCTTATCATTGATTATAAATACTATAGTATTTATAATCAATGGTCTTATCCAGCAGTTGGTTAATATTATAATCTGTGTAATGGACGTAAGTTTTCATTAGGTTCGTTAAGTTGATAACTTAATTAATTACTAGTGTTCAACCAGATTCTAACTGAAATATTTAATTATCGGACAACAAATATTTTCTGACATTTTATACTAGGTTAAGGCACAACATACTCATCATTGCCACAATTTCTAATACTTGAAAAATAAATTACCATGAACATACATTTAAATTTTAAATACAACAATCAAGCTGAACGTAATTTGTACATCGGATGAAATGTCATTAGTTAGGTTTATTAAAGTTTAATATTCAATACAATTTTCAAAATGACGTTAATATTATATTAAAAAGCAAATGTTTTTAATTGAAAACTGAAATTATGTTTTATAATACTAAGATTTTGAACTTTGAAGTATTTAAATAGTAATTTTATTTTTATCCCTGAATAATTGATGCACATTATTATATTACGACATTAATTAATTATTACCTATTTACTTTAGTTAACGCAGGGCGCTACTTTTTTAATTCAACGTGGTAATTTAAAGTTAATTTTGTATTTAATACATTGAGATTTTATAAGATTCACAGCACGCGGTTAATCAAAGACTTTTCATCCTACAATTTTCGGCCCGTAGTTTAAACGAATAACAACAAAATTATTATTGGATTTTTGAAAAAAATTTTTTTTTTTTTATCGTCACCACAGTTATAAAATAGGCTGTAGTTGGATTTTTGAGAGTACACTCACGTAAAACGATCGGCGCCCTCGATTATGTCGTGGGTGACCATCTCCTTGGTGTTGGACACGTCGCCGTACAACACATCGCCAATGATGCCGAACCGCTGGAGCACGTCCACGCCGCGGCCGATGTCCACGTTACCGGTGGTGTCCACGCGGATGGCCGACCGGAGCGCGAGCAGCAAGACCGCGGCGACAGCCACCGCGAACATCGCAATCGTCGGATGCGTGAAGTGGGCCCCGGGGACGACGTTTGCCGTACCGTACCGATGACACGCAGGCGTCCGTCTCGGGGTCGGTCCACCGATGTGGCCGCGGTCAGCAGTCTGCAGCGGTTTCGACGGCGCCGGCCATCAACAAAAACGACGTATCGCGCGAGACCGGTCAAGCGGGGGAGCGCGCGTACGGTTGGCACTAAGCGGCGATTCCGTACTTACGTACACGCGTACTGCAGCGCCGCACACATCGCTCGTACATGCAACAAAATAAAATATAATATTATAATATTATTATAATATTATTTTATCGTCGGCGCGCGCGCTATGGAGCGAAAACCGAATGAGAGATATAACGTTAGACTTGGTCTGTAGACGGCCGACGGGAATTTATAATAATAATAATAATTATTATTATTATTATTATTAATATTTTTGTGTTCTATCGTCGCGTGCGTGCGCGCCGGAACGTTTGAGTCACCACCGCTCGCACCTTATCGTCGGAGATGTATTATTATTCGTTAGACAATCAAAACATAGCGCGCTACAACATCGCATCGCGCGCGTCCGTTCGTTCGTTTTAGCCACATCGCGGCCGCGCGTACTACTGAGATATTATAACAATAATTATTATTTTATCGCGAGATAAACCCACCGCTTCCGATATCATACCTTGGTAGCTATGTCAGATTAATATTATTATTGTTATAACCATTATAGCATGTGCGCGCGATCCTTAAACCGTGCCGGGAGCGTGTGCCGCGTAACGTCTTCGATGATTTTTTTTATTTTATTTTCGTTGCAGTTCGAGAGATTTGGTAAAAAACAATTGATCCTAATTGATTTATATTGGGGGAGGGGGAGAGGGGTTTGCAGAACCGTTACTCAATGACCAATATTATGATGACTAATATCATCGAATATTCAAAACGATATCGATATATTTCAATTTCATGTGTCGGTACCTAAGTGGCCGCATGAATGGAGAGCTCTAGTATTAGCCCCCTTACGGATGTTGATGGTGGTATAGTGTTGTCTTAGCAGCTCTTGTCCTCTCAACGAGGCTGTAGACAGAACGCTAAATGGCCTGATTTTAATAACGTACGACTCTTGAGAATATTCGATATTCGTTTGACATTTATTTTGAACGTGATATATCATATTATACGTGTACTATTGTTATAAAGCGTCAAAGTCGAAAAATCTATGAAAACTTCTCGTCATTACACTCGTTTACAGATTTATTATAGATATTATAACTATTTATGTCTATATTATATATAATGTGGTTTATTATCGGTTCTGTTCATAACCGTATAAATCGTTATACCTAGTTTTTGAACACTCATAATATTGTGTAATGAATTATTGTCCGGCTTTTGATAGTTAAATTAAATAGAACATTATTTAGCTATACTATACTATATAATTTATTTTACGATAAAGTTGCACACAAGTCTTGCACATAGGTGTATCAGTCAATGACCAATGAATTTATGATTATATACATCTATCATCGATGACGTTGTTCCGTTTATAGATATATACAACAGGAGTGGTTTTTTTTTATAGGAATTTCATGTTAGCACTCGAGGTTGCTGGTTTATTGTTCATGAATTTGACCTTTGTGTACATACCTACTTCGTATATATGTATAATAAACTGACAACGGCGATCACTCATGTAATCGAAATAATTGCGCTATAGATAATGTGAGTGTATTATGTACCTAAACTACCTATAGTAGTATAGTGCATACATAATGCATGTATACGTTATATATTACATGCATATAAATGTATTACAAACGTTTTTCACATAAACAAATCATCGTGGTTTGTACCTATTATCATGCGATAATTTGCAATTGCCTATAGTATTGTTAGTTGTTACGTGTAAATAAGTGGCAGTAATGCGGTATACACTATATTATTCACACCTTAAATTTCCTAAAACCATCTATCTAACTCGAAATCAATTATAAGTATGAACCAATTAAATAGATTATAGCCTATAATTACTGTTATGTATAATATAAAATGATGTATATTATGTAGTGTATACAACATAAGCTCAAGACTTGATTTAGGATTGTATGGGTCACAAGGCCATGGATTTTAAGTTTTAAACTGTTTATCTTTAAAAATTAATAAATGCCACTATACAAGTTAACTATTCATAATTGTTTCATTTGATTAAAACGTACTGGATTTTTAGTAAAAATCAAAACTATTAAAATTAATTATATTTATTAGTTAATTTTTTCTGCTGAAAAAATATCGAAGTTAAAAATTGAAACATTTTTCTATTATGAAAAGTCTTCAAATAAAAAAGAAAAAAAATCATGTAAATTTAATCCATTTTCACTCCGCTTAGAATCTAAAACAAAATAATAGTTCTAAATTAGATATTATTATACTTAATGAATAAGGATGGTAATTTCCCAGGAGCTAGAACAGTCAATTTTCAAGTTGTGACATAAAGTGTATACTAATGAATGTTGACTTAATATGAGTACCTATAAAATACCTTACTAATTTAGTATACCTACTATATTATACATAGAACAAGTATGTGTTAGGTATTATTTTCACATACATATATTATTATTATTATTATTTTTTTTTTTTTTGAGGGTATTGACCGAACGTACAAAAATATAATACGGAAAAATTATACCTATGTGTTAACTAAAATCCTTAACACGTACACTCACAATTATTTAGTATGTTTTAACAATATGTATTTTTCTCAATAGGTGCCAGCTACGTTTAATGTTCATTACATTTTTATGTATATATATTACATGTTGTCATATATGTATAATATATATATATATTTATAATTATTTTTAATACCGTTAGTTGCGTAATTTATACAATATACTAAATTTGTCCATATTAAACCTTCGAAATGGTTATGTATTTACCATCCGGGAAGGCAGAATTAATTATACTGTATAGGTATAAATTTATAAATAATATTCAGTATACCGAGTGGTAGCAGTATACCAATTAACAATAGTATAATAACTAATAATTTAACTACGAGGCAGCTATATATTTAAAAAAAAATAAGGTTGAAAAATGAATATTTTAATGACCTCTAAAACAAACTCATGACTTGTTTCAAGTGTTAAATAAAAAAAAATTTTCGAAAATTTTTTACCGTTTATAGTTTCGTTAAAGAGCTAAACAAATTAGTAATATACAGATGATATTCTTACCCATTGATCAACAGTGATAAAAACTAAAAGCAATTTTACAATTATTTATTAATGCTATAATTAATTGTTATGCGAGTATCATGTAATATATAACAAATTATATTTACTTCGTTAATGGGCGATGAAATTAATCGTATTTAATTGTAGATACGCACGCTGATAAAAATATAATTATACTATTATACTAAAGTAAATACTGTAAAATAGTAAATTATTATTATTTGCTAATAGCAAAGGTGGATTAAATACATACAAATGCAGAATGACTTGGCAAAATAACATTTTTTGCAGATATTACAAGTAAACTGATGAATAATAAAGCTAAAAAGTTTATATTTTACAAATTTTTGAAAAACTAATTTTTAAATTCAATAAAAATTTGATTTATTGCTAACTAAAGTTTATTAAAATTTAAAATTATTTTAAGATTACTTTAATTTTAGCACTGTTTTATTACACATTTAAAATGCATACTATGATCAGTCTGAATTATTGTATTTATAATAGTTAAAACACTGTTAACATTGTTATTGTTTAAATAATTAATTTATCAATATACGTATATTAATTAATTATTATTATGTCATATATAACTTATTTGTTTTATTCTTGATAGTATAATGTACAAAATTAAGTTTTAATATGAAAAGTTAAACTTCATTAAAAAACTTTTTTTAATAACGACCATAATAAGTTTTATACATTTTTTTTACCTAAATAAGTGTGTTTAATTTAATTGTAGTAAATATCCTAGTAAATTAGTGTAATTGTAATATTATCACACAATTTAAAACTAAAATATATTTGAAATTTTATAGAAATACCTATCCGCAAAATATAATTCAATTCGTTTATTTCATCAATTGATTTTAATGTTTATTGACATTTTTATTTCCATGACAACTACAACTAAACATATAGCTAAACAAAATCATAACAGGTAGGTAAAATTACGTTGCTCTTGTCTGATAGTATAAAATGATCGTTTGGATTGGTAAAAACAAATGGTGACTTAATGTTTTAAAAATGTTTATACGTATATTATTAGTTTTCACAATTTCTGCAATTATATTAAGTAAGTTAATTATATATATGAAGAACAAAAGTAAACGGTTGATAATTATATATAATTATTTTAATTCAACATAATTTTGAAAAATTGTTTTTATTTAAATGCAATTTTTATTTCTTAAAAGTTAAATGTATATTAATAATAATTGTAACTTAAAATTATTTTTATAATAACAATAATTTATATTATAACATTTACTTTTAGTCAATCCTATAACAGCCATTGATGAAATATACATATCACCCTTCATCTATGACGTACAAAATAATACTGATATAGTAATTGAAATAAAGGGATTGGCATCAACAATGGATATGATAAAATCTACTGTATGTGATGTAATTGATCTGGATTCTCAAATCGTTATGGTAATACAATTTATTTTGTAGAATTACACAAAAAATTTAAATAAATAAATCTTTATTTATTATTTATTATAATAAAAACTAAAATAATGTTGTATGAGCTTCCTAAATTTCAAATCCCAAATTACAGTTAACAATCAAATAGAAAAATATTATCAGTAAACCAAGTCATATACCATCAGAATTTATTTAGGATCTACTGAAAAACAAAATTCGTAATGCTCAATTTTTCTGAATATTAATCAAGCTTGTAAACAATCTATTGTAAAAGTGGTATTATAAATAATTTTCGGAAAATAAGTAAATTATAAGCTACAAATTTTTAAAATTTTATTATACATTTGTATTTTTGCACTGCACATTAAAATAGGGACTCCAAATTTTAAAAAAACCAACTGAAAAATATTGTAATTAAACATTAATCTCATATGTTTCAAACGTTGATAATTAATACTAATAATTAGGAAACTCTTACTTTGTAGTATTATCTGTTAATTAACAAACTATAAGTAAAATAATAAAGTGTACTTATTTAAATTTCAAAAATATGAAATTTACTTTAAATTAAGTTTGAAGACTTAAAACATTAAAATGTATCATTATTTCTGTTATTATAGAAAACTGATTTAGATCTAAGTAACACATTTACGATATTGGCACGGTTCGAAATCCCAACAGCCTTAGGTGCTTTTAAGATGCAATGTTCAAAGTTCGGTTCTCTTATGAAGTTTTATGGTAATTTTGTACTTGTTAATAGTCTACATTTGAAAATCGAAAACGTTGAACCAAATACAATAAAACTAGGAGAAAGTGTTTCAGTAAGTTTATACGAGTACAATGCATATTCAGTCTCTCGTGAAAATTATAGATACTAATAGGTACTCTGTACACTATAGATAATAATAAATCATTTTTTTTTGTATATA